AGTACAAACATTGCAACATGTGAGAAACTGCATGGGAGAAACAACAAACTGCAAGAATTTGTGTAAAGAGGTGGGGCCTGGTAGTGCACACCTGTAATCCCAGCACTCAGGAAGCTGAGGCAGGCAGATTGCTGTGCATTTGAGGCCAGCCAGGCCTACAAAGTGAGTTCAAGGCCAGGCTGAACTGCATAGAGAAACCTTTTCTCAAAAAGACACCACAGCCCTTGCAAGTTCTGGAAACTTGAGAAGGTATAGATGAGATGCTCCATTTACCCTGCTGAACAGCATCTGGGATGTGCAAATACTAGACACTGGAGTTCACTGGAGTACTGAGGTGGCACGTAGAAGAAGCGTGAGTCAGTGTGTATTGGAAGCATGAGTGTCCCGCAATGAAGACTGGGGAAAACTGAGACGAGACTCCATTCAGCACGCTGAAGAGTAGCATCAGAAGCACAGAAGTCTGGATGTCATGGTTTACTGGGAAACTGAACTAACTTGTAATTGGGGACCCACACTTGGCGCAATGAGTTATATTTCTGTTTCTCAACTCTGTGTGCTCCAGGAGTCTGTGCACTTTCCTTTCTTCTACAACCCGCTTGCTAGATTACTGTGGCTTAATAACGCCCCTTGGAATCAGTCGCATGAGGGCTCCAGGTTTGTTACTGTTCCTTTTCTGTATTCTGCTTCGTTTTCTCTGGAATTGGTAATTGTCCTGGTTTGTTGAGCTTTGTTTTCTCAGGCTTCTAATTCAGCCCTCAGCTCTTCATTAGATTAAATCATCACTCGAAGACAAACATCTCAAAAATGTCGATTTCAATTTCCCGAAGAAGTCATTCCTGAAATTTTTTTTTTTTTTTTTTCTCTTCAGTACTGGGTATTGAAGAGGGCCTTCATACTCAGCTACACCACCAGCCATTTATTCATTTATTTATTTACAGATAAACTTTCAAGATCTCATGAGGTTGCTAGATTGCCCATGTTGGGCCTGAACTTGTAATCATTCTGCTTTAGCCTCCAAGAGCGCTGGGATTACAGGCCTGAGCCACCATGCCCGGCTTCTTGAAATCTTTTGTTTGCTATTCTTTGGAACTGCTTTTCCTTCAATGGACTGTTCGTTTCCCTTAAACATCCTGATACGCAAGGTCCCAAGAGGTAAGAGTTTACTTAGATATACAGTCTGTATTTTAATACTTCAAATTAGGGTGATTAGTAATCGCAGATTGTTTAGGTCAGTTCATTTTAATACTGAAAATCCCATGTCCTGGAAAAAAGCTAGTTGTGGGAAAACTGGACTGGTGGATCATGCTACTTTGCATGTAAATACTGTCCCTGTGCATGGGTTGAATTCAAGTTTGTAAACCACGTACTGGGACTATAGCTCAGTGGTGGAGTGCTGCAGGATTCAGCCCTCAGTACTGGGGGATAAAAGGCCTCTGGGTTGTTTCTGACACACGGAGGTGACTAAGAATTAGAGCTGAGACGGTGTTGGCCATGGGACCCTGTACAGGCCTGGCAAGAGAGAGAGCTGAAGGAAGCCATGTGCAAGTGTAGAATCGGACATGTGTGTGAGGCGTGGCTAAAAGGAGTAGTTTAAATTACTTGTCAGATATTAGAGACTGGACTCCGAGGATCCCTGCTTCCTTGTATAATTCTCTCCCCTGGAGTGTGACTTACTTCTAATTCTCGAAGGTGATGGAATATCAATTTTGTAATTCCATCCTGTAAGACTGCAACTTATTTCTTGCTGTTGGACTCTCTATCTATCGCCTTCTTAGTTTACATGAGTTTGGGGAACTTCGACAGGTGAGTAACTGTGGGAGGCTCCTAGTGGTTGGGGGCAGCCTCTGACTGACAGTTCACAAAATACTGAAGGCCTTAGTCCTATAATCACAACAAATCAAATTCTCAGAAGCAGAACTTTCTCCAGCACAGCCTTGCAGGAACTCACAGCCCCAAGAAACACATTGATTTTCAGCCTTGCGAGGTAGGAAGAGCGGCCTTGTAAAAGCTCTGCCTGGACTCCTGACCCACAGAAATGGTGACATAATAATGCGTGTTATTTTGAGTCCCAAAGATTATAGTAATATTGTTAGGCAGTAGTAGTTACACATGCAAAGATATATATTTTGTCAAAGACAGGTTAAAAGTGAGAAAGAGAAACTTTATTTATTCCGTTTTTATTTTAGCATGCCAATTACACATTAGGAATTCTGCTATATATTAGGGTGGGTACAACATCACAAAAGGTCTACTTAAGCCAGGCTCAGTGATGCATGCCTAGTATCCCAGCTACTTGGGGTCTGAGGTAGGAGGATCACAAGTTTGAGGCCAGCCTGGATAACTTAGTGAGACTTTGCCTCTAAAGATAAGTGGGGAGGATGTAGCTCAGTGCCAGGGCCCTGAGTTGAATCCCCAGTACTTGCAAAAAAGAAAGAAAAGATTTTATAATATGAGTATATCTATGTCTGCATCTTAAAATGTAATCTCAGGACCACTACAGTTAATTCATGCTTGTTTGGAGCCTGTAGGCGTGCACACCAGGACATTTGTCTTCTGAGTCACTCATGTGCCTTAAATGCCAGAAGGAAGAGAATGGAATGATAATGGACATAACAGGAATTGTTTGTGCTCTGAAACTGTTGGATTTGTGATCTGAATCCCCATGGGTGGCGACAGATGAAGAAGGACTTTCGTTCTCAAGAGAGTTTCTTACATCATGGATCCAGGCAGTGCTGTTGATGACATGGGACTGCTGCAGGGGACAGAGCGCCTTGGATGCCACTTTGTAGGAAACAGCATGGCTTTGGTGCCTAGAGAATGAGTCTTTGGGAGCACTGGAGGGGACTATCAGTGTTAATCGTGGTGTCTTTCTAGAGAACGTTAGCTGGAGCCACAAAAAACCCCTTTGAGGGATTTTTTTGAGCGGAGAAGGGAATGCCCCGAAGTGGGAGCTGGGGAAACTTTTCAGTGACTCTACATACATGGGCCCTTTAGCAGTGTAAGACGCTGTAGACTGTGCTGCCAGTGCTCCCTAAAAAGTACGGCTGGAGGAAGGGATGGTGAGTGCTGAAGTTTTAGCCTAAGACAAAGAGAATAAAAGGGGAAAGAGCAGGGAAGGATGAAAAGCATGGTAGTGGTTATCGCCTAACAGGGTGCAAAAAGTTCATCAGACAACTTGGTAGGGTGTCTCTCTCACCACACAAGACGTCACCTGATAGGCTGTGCTGTGCAGACAAACCACGCCTTAGAATAGTCCATGGGAGGGTGAGGAAAAAGGAATGTGCACGTCTGGTTCCTTCCTGCCTTGTTCCTATTGATCAGAGCTTGCTTCTTCCTTTAGGGGTCCTGTCTTTGGCCTCCCCAGAAGCCAGTTTTCACCCCACACCCAACAGGGAAGTGCTTTATCCAAGTCTGGCAGCAAGAGAAGCCAGTGTCAGGGAGTGGGGCAGAGGCCTCGGCCTTCTGTGCCGAGTGACTGGCGGTAGGGCAGACAGGGCTGGAGGAGACAAGCCCCCGGGAGCAGGCAGGATGTAGTGGAGGCTGAGGTGCAGCATGAGGCAGAGGGTGTCGGGAATGGTGGCAATGAGGGACTCTGAGGAGAACTGAGGTGGGTCCTGATGCTTAAGGTCTTAGGGAAAACCCTGGTGGGGGTAGAAAGGGAATTCTAGGATGGTGGGGGTCTTTGGGAAGGAATAGATGAAGGGTAACAACAGAGAACAAGGGATATGATTATTAATTTGACTTTGCATGCTGAGGGCAGGGACTTCTGGGCATATTTTGGTTTTAGGTAAATGAGTAAAATGACAGGCCGTGTACTCAAAAAGCCAGGCTCTGGGACTGGGGATTTAGCCAGTGGCATAGCGGCTGACTGGCAAGCGCGAGGTCGTGAGTTTGATTCCTGGTACCGGAAAAAACAAAACAAAACAAAATAAAACAAACAAACAAAAAAAGCCAGGCTTCTTCATCTTGGACCAAGGTATCAAGGCCATGAAATGTAAAGGTGTGTTGGTGAATCCTAGCAGATAATTTCAGTTAAGGTACAAAATTCCAGCCAACTTTACATTTTTGGGTAAAGAACTGGGACTTTATTCCTTAGCGTTGTTTTTTTTTTTTTTGGTACTGGGAATCAAACTCAGGACCCTGTGCTCCCAGGCAGGCGCTGTGCCACTGAGCTATATCCCCAGTCCCTTTTTCCTTAGGCAACAGGAAGTCTATCAATAGTTTTAGTCTACAGATACTGTACCAGGCAACGAGGTCGTTGGAGCAGAAGAAAACACACTCCTTAATTAACAACTGAGTTAAGTTACTGAGACTAGATCTTTAAAAGAATTGGTCGCTACAGATGGAACTGTCTACAGTTCATACAATATTCAGTAGTATATGCAATATTGCAGTAGTATAGTAGTATATTACAGCATTCAGTAGTATATTACAATATAGTACATACATTTACAATATTTAGAAAGTACAATAGTCAGAACAAAGAAATGGGCAAAGGAAACTCCCAACTTGTGACTTTGCTTTTACTCGCACAACCCTTGCATGCAATGCTGTAATGTATAACAGAACACAAAACTACAATACTGTACACTCTGCAAAAATTACATTACTGTGTAAACAAAGTGTACTGTACCAAAAAAAAGTACACTGAGGCTCTGTCAGCAAGATAGACAGAACTGCAGAGAAACTCAAGCATCTTCCGTCGGCCTTCCAAACCCCAATCTGGAGGCTCCTCCCCCACTTGGGGTCACGGGGTAGAGGCAAAACTAGCCAGAAGCCACCTAACTCAGAGTTAGGAAGCAGTTTAAGGCCTAAAGGCATGACCTGGAAAGACGTGGATTCCTTGGGCGTCCAATCACTGTACAAACGGTAGCCGAATCCTCTCCCGCTTGGAGAATCCACTTGGTATCCAAGGAAGTGGAAGCCCCCAGCAAGTTCCACCCAAAGCCGCATCATATCAAGTGCGCAGGCGCAAGGACCGCGGGGCGCTGGGCGCCTCCGCGATGCCCCGCCCCGCCGCAAGGCAGCACGGGAAAACCAAGATGGACGCGTCCATTTGAACGTCGTGCACGCCCGCCCGGCTTTAGCGGTCCGCTGCTGCTCCTGCCCATTCTTCCTCCGGAATAAGGGAGGAAGAGGGATGAGAAGCTGTGGCGGCCGAGGAGTCACTGTGACCGATCTGCCCCTCGGCCCCCGCGCCTCCAGGGAGCAGCCGGGGCTCGCCGCGCCGGACGCGTCCCGAGTCACACAGGTGCTCCCGGGCCCGCAGCGCCGGATGGTCTCTCGCGTTGCCCTAGATGTTCGTATCTCCGCGGGGCCAATTCGCGCCCGGTGACCCGGAGGGGCGGGAACCCGAGGGCGGGGCCTGAGGGCCCGCCCTGCTGAGCGGACTTGGGCCTGCAGGCTGGGTTTTTCGGGGTGCGACTCCAAGCTCGCAGCCCAGCGCGGCGACCCGTGGAGGGTCCCACCTTCCCGCCCCCCAGCCCCGCTGAGCAGGGGGCTCAGCTGTAACGAAGCTGGGAAGCCCTGCCCTGGTGGGGACTCCGCTCGACGTTCCTTCTAGTACATGCGCGGCGGGAGCGAGGACTCAGGTTCCTTCTCTGTGCATTTGGGTTTCTTGTTTCTGACAGGGTAGTGTTTCTTCCTAGTGATCAGTGTTGACATTTTGATTGATAGCATTTTGATTTATAGCATGCCCGTCTAGTACTTTCGTGTGTCGCTCTTTATTTTGTCCATAAAAATGACGCATTTATAAAATTTTGGGGTACTGTGCAAGTATTAAGTATGTTGACTTCATCAGTACAGAAAATGTCTACTGTGCAAATAGTACCATAACTAATTCTGTAGTTTTTCTGGGGCTGGTAGGAGAATAACGTTACCAACAATTATGACAGAAGTTGAAGTCGCAACTTCTTAAATATTTGAATCTCGGTGAATAGAATATAGGCTGCCCAGCTGAATTTTGGACTTCTTGCAAGTTGTAAGGTACCTTTTTAGTTATGTCTCAAGTTGAAGTGTTCTCAGTACTTATTGATTTCTGGCCCTTGGATAAAAAATACCTGTGTTATATTTTGTGACGTTTATAATTCTCACAGGCATAACGTTTAATTCACAGTGAAATAATTTTGAGGCCTAGGGAAGCTGCTTAGGAACTACAGCGACTTTGAGGTATTTGTGCAGTAAAGGAAACACCTAAAAAGGGAAACCTAAGTAAACACCTTAAAAAGAGAAATCTAAGTAAAATTTAGTTAAACTCTATTAATCTTGAATGCTGTTTAAAACTCCAAAGGTTGTCTGCAGTGCTGATGTCAGGTGTTTAATGATTTCTGTGTTTTAGGATTGCAGCTTAAATGTGATGAAATCCACTTTTTTAAAAATTGTAGATGTCTCAGAGACAGAATCTGCTCTCACCTTATACACTGTATTATGCAGTGTCAGGTTTACCACCTGTCACTCAATATATGTGGAAATGTTTGGAAATTATAGTGGCATTATAGTGAAATGTTTGGGAATTATGGTGCACAGTTCATGCACATCTCTGTGGTAATAAACTGGTTTTGACTGGCCTTAGAGGCTGACCGTAGTGTGTTTCAATTCATACAGAAATAATGGTGATATTTGGAACCCATGTCGAACTTCTATGAAGAAAGGGCAACGATGATTGCAGCCGGGGATTTGCAGGAATTTGTTCCTTTTGGTCGTGACCACTGCAAGCACCACCCTAATGCTTTGAACCTTCAGCTGCGCCAGCTGCAGCCAGCCTCTGAATTATGGTCTTCTGATGGTGCTGCTGGCCTGGTGGGATCCCTTCAAGAGGTTACAATCCACGAGAAACAGAAGGTTCTATTAATACCTCATTATATTTTTGAAACATAGACTGATACGATTTACGTGTAATTTAGGGCTAAACAAATGCAACTCAGAAATAAGCATGATAACTACTTCTAGGATAAAGGTTAAGATTTGGTAATTTCAACCAGTGCTAAGATAATGAGTTCATTGTGGTTCAGTGTCTTAGCTGCTTATTTAGACATACTGGGTAACTTGAGGCTTTATAGTGAGAGTCAACTTCTGTACCATGGTGATGGTTCGTTTCGAACGCCTTTCTCTTTACTTCATATGTAGGGACCAGATTTTATGTTAACTTGATTAAATGGCAAAGATTAGAAGTGGTCCCTGCTGAAAAACATGTTTCTAGAGGAGGGAAGAAATGTCACGTAAGAAGGTAGAGTAGTAGTTCTTAAATAAGGGAATGAGGTGTCTGCAAAGTCAACCCCTTCTGTGTGTTTTGCTTTTCCCTAGTGCTGGGGATCCAACCTAGGGTGTTGTTCAATGCTAAGCAAGTGCTCTACCACTGAGCTATACCTCCAGCTGCCTCCTATGTACCAAATTTTCTTATCCCTTTGGGATACGGTTGGAATGTATATACGTTAGTTAGTAATTGAGATCTTTCTTTCTTCTGTTATGGATGGGACAAGAGAAGGAAGGTGAATGCATGTCTGTGCAGCTGTGAAGCAGAGACGTCTGCATTGTACCTAACTCTCCCAGCAATCCCCATGTGTACCACACTGTCCCCTCTCTGCCCCCCGCATACTCTTAATATGTGCTTTTAGTCTCCCAAGCGTGTGAGTTCATGTTTGACTTACGGATAAAAAGTTTTATTTGTGTTTTTGGCAGAGTAACACAGAGATATAAAACACTTACTGTAGAGACTTCTTGTTCCTAAAAATCTTCTAAGATCTAATTTACCTGCATACTCTATTCTGCTGATCAGTGCACCAGACCTCTTAGGAGTTTGACTTGGATTAAATCTTACCACAAATGAATCTCGGCTTCAGACTATTGAAAAAAAAAGAATACTTGAACATATCTTCCATATGTTAATTTTTAAGGAAAGCTGGCAGTTAAGGAAAGGAGTAAGTGAAATTGGAGAGGAAGTGGACTATGATGAAGAACTCTATGTGGCTGGAAATATGGTGATCTGGAGCAAAGGAAGTAAAAGCCAGGCACTGGCAGTTTATAAAGCGTTTACAGTTGACAGTCCTGTCCAGCAGGTGAGTAGATCTGCATTTCAACATTAGGTTGACTGTTTAACACATCTTTTTTTTTTTCTTTCAAAGCTTTTGTTTTAAAATTTAACAGAAATGATAAAAAATAGTATAAAGATCCCAGTAGCTGGGTGTGCATTTTTAACACACAGTGAAGATAACGGCAAGACAATCAGAATTTCATTTTATATTCTTTACACTGTCCTTTGCTGATACTACCCTTGGGTACTTCAGTTTGTTATTTTCAACAAAAATTTATAAGGGGTTAGGGATGCAGAAATATTTTTCAACACCTGCCTATTATAACTGATTCTGAGATATTAAATTAACAAAAATTGTGGGGCTCTTAGCAGTAATCAGAGGAAGAAAAGGAACAATGAACTTGATATTACAGTTGACTATTACATCTCTTTTCTCAAAATTGATAATTAAAGGGAAGGAATTAAGTACTTGCTAAGTCTTCAGGAAGACATGGAATTTGTCTCCATTTTTTTTTTTTATTTTAAAGAATAAAAGAAGGATAACATAATAATGGGGGGACTTAGCAAATTACAGACAAAATGGTAGGAAATTATCAATGGTTATCGTTTTACGTATTATTATCTACAAAATAGTTTCTCAGGAAAACAAATAGACAAATAATAGTGAGTTAGAGACAAAAGAGGTAGGAGATTATCAAGAGTTGTTGTGCTATACTTTGGTATCTTCAAAGTGGCTTCTAAAGAAAATAAATAGAGCTATACATGAGTGACCTATTGAAAAATCATTAACTATTCTCAATGGTTGTTGTAGGAAACACATAATAATAAACATACATTATGAAATAGGATAGGAACATTACAAACTTAACACAGTTATGGGTAGATTAGTAGGAAAATATCAATGGCTGCTGTAATATGTGGTGGTATCTTCAAAGTGGTTTCTCAGGAAGACAGAGATATGCAAGAAGGATCTAATAAGTAGTTACAGCCTAAGGGTTGTCAAAAATAGCATATTACCTCCTCACCAGTGACTCCTTTCACTGAGGTATGATGGCTGGAAGGAAGGCCAGGATTGAAAAGAAGGACCGAGAGACTTGCACCTGTGACTAGCAACAGGCTGTTTTCTTGTTCCTCCATAGTCATGATTACCCAGGACTCCTCGATGGAGATGACGGTCTGGCCAGAGGGAGAAGGCAGACCATGCCCCAAGCCCTCTCATTCCTGTTGGACTAACTGGTAGCATGGGTCTGAGCTCTGGGGCCTCCACCTCAGAGGGGAGACCGATCTCCATTTGATGAATGAAAACTCTTGCTTGTAAAAGAATGACAGCTATTACTTGTAAACGTAGAAGGAACAGTAGAGTCAGGAAATCACTGTTTTGTAACTACTAGTGTGATAATTGATTCTGGGAAGATTGTAAATTATTACTAGCACTCTTGCATGGAAAGGATATCATCACAGGGCTAGGTGGCACTGTGCAGTTTGCTTGCTAAATGTGAAAGGACAAAGGCACCTCTGCTTTGCAGTAGTTAACCTTTTGTCTGTACCTCAACTGAGTGATTGAGTTCAGTATGAGCAGGATGCAGGACTGCTGTGTGCCTTCAGATGTAACACAGAATCAAGTACATGTCATCATCCAGTGACTTTGCTTTCCAGGAACACTTACCTTGACTTTTTAGACCTAGCTTCCTGTTTGTAGGACATATGAGAACTAGAAGCTCATGTGGTAAAATAACCTGAGATGAGGAGTGGGTTGGAGGTCTAGGTGAGAAGATTTATAGTGACTGAAGCTAGCTAATGAGAATTCATTGTCTTACTGTGTTCACTTTGTATATATTTGCCATGATAAAAAGTTTAAAGAAAAAACTACAGGGAAATTACTAATTAGACCAATCCAGGGTATCAGAGAGTCAGCATTTTGTCCGATCTCTTTTAAAAAAAGTCATGGAGAAAGAAAAAGCTGATGAAAGGAGACCAAAACTGACATCACCAAGTACAATATGTTTGAACCTTGTAAAATGAACTTTTGTTGACTCCTGGTTCTAGAAAATTAGCAACAAAAAGGCATTTTTTTGGGTGAGAAATTGGAAAAATTGAAGAGGGACCAGATATTAGGTAATAATAGAGAGGTTTTTTTCCCTTAAGATGATAGTTCTATGGTTTTATAGGAGAACATCTTTATTTTTAGGAAATGGATGATAAAGTGTGATATTATATGTGCAATTTATGCACAAGTAGAGGCCAGGTGTGGTGGCCAATGCCTATAATCTCAGCACTGTAGGTGCCTGAGGAAGGACTGCAAATTCAAGCCCAGTGAGACCATTTCTCCACATAAAGACCGGGAATATAAGTCAGTGCAAAGACCCTGCGTTCAGTCCCTAGTCCTGCTAAACAGAAACATTAGTTAGTTTACAAGTAGTCAGTAGCCTGCTCCTCAACCCCACAAGTGCAAAAGTGCACACATAAACAAAAATGGTAAAATGTTAGTGATTGTTGAATTTAAATGAAACAGATATTCTCTATGTTTACTTTTTCTTACTGAGAAGTTTTTGAATAAAAAATTCAGGGAAAAAACAAATACATTTATAGTAGGTAAGTTAGAGAATAGGCTGTTGAAAAGAGATTTTTGGAAGCTTTGACTAACATGACACTCCTTATTTATAAATATTCAAACTTTTGTACTTGGACAGTACGTACCCTTCCCTTGCACATTTCCTGATTGCCACAGTGCTCTATTTATTGGAAAGGAAAAACTGAATTATTTTTTGAGGATAGATGCAAAAGCATTTTGTCTAGGTGTATTGAAGCAAGTAACCTTCTTAAAGATAATATTTTTCCCAGGTAGTCCATATAGTTAGTATAGAAGGGAAAAATGGATTTGATAATATCCAAATACTTCTTTATTTCTATGTTCCCATCTTCATTTTTCTAAGGAATAATTACCTGTTCAGTTACCTCCTTTATTCTGAATCTCTCTTGTATTACCATTGCTTCTCCATGTGATCATAAAATTTAGAATTTCAGTCCTTTTGGTCTGGAAAATATATTGTTAGTGTTCTTGCTAATGTGGAGAAAGAATGATGTCAGGGATATGTGACTCAGATTCCATTTATTCATTCTTTGATTCATCCTACTAGTGTTTTTTTTTTTTTTTTTTTCCTTTGTGTTTTTGAGATAGGGTCTCGCTATGCAGTTCAGGCTGGCCTTGAGTTCACTTTGTAGCCCAGGCTGGTCTCAAACTCGCAACGATCCTCCTGCCTCAGCCTCCCGAGTACTGGGATTACAAGTGTGTGCCACCACGCCCGGCTCATCCTACTAGTGTTAAGTGTTAAACTCTTCAGATAATCTTTAGTTTTGTATAGGTTATAGGGTTGTTTTTTTTTTTTTTTTTGGTTTTTGTTTTCTTCTTGTGAGACAGGGACTTACTATGTAGCCCAGGTGGGCCTTCAACTCACAGTGATCCTCCTGCCTCAGCCTCACAAGTGCTGGGATTGCAGGCATGTGCCACCATGCCTGGCAGGTTATAGGGTTTAGTACAGGTGGAGTCAGTATTTGAATTTTTACTTCAAGGCTTCTACCTTAGGTGTTTCAGTTTTTGTCTTCTCTCCTGTTTTCATAAAATTGAATTGCAAATCTTTCCGTATAATGTTTATTTTCGATTTGTCTAGTTTTATTTTTTCTTGTTCTTGTTTGTTGCCATAGTGTATTGTTGAGATGAGGGGGATGGAAAGTTATTATGTGAATGTCATTATTTAGATGCTGTTAGTTAAGATTGTTATTTAGATGCAATTTTCTTAGGTAAGCATTTTGTTTTGATTTTAGGCGTTGTGGTGTGACTTCATTATATCACAGGATAAGTCTGAAAAGTCCTACAGTAAGTGTTTGAAATTTTATTTATTTTATGATAATTCTAAATATTTATCTCGCATTTTTTTTCCATTCAGAGTAAATAGCCCCTACTAATAATGGTTTAACCTAAGCACTTTTACATTGTGTGCTAAAGAATTTGTACTGTTGGAATTGAACTCTTCAGGGAAAAATACCCCCATACATCTTGTACTTTTTCTTTTCAGGTAGCCATGAAGTAGAAAAATGCATATGTATATTGCAAAGTTCGTGTATAAACATGCATAGCATAGAAGGAAAGGATTATATAGCTTCCTTACCATTTCAGGTAAGCTTGAATGCTGTAAATTTTTTATGTGTGTTGGAGATCATTCTTAAATTAATTAATTTCAGTAATATGTCTTAGTTTATGTTTTGTAATCAAGAATATTATTTTTATTTTATTCAAAAAATAAGTTTTAGGTAGGTGTGGTGGCGCATGCCTATAATCTCAGCACTTGGGAGGCTGAGGCAGGAGGATCATCATGAGCTCAAGCTACAAAGTAAACTCAAGGCCAGCCTGAACTGCATAGCGGGACCCTGTCTCAAAAAAGACAAAAAAAAAAGAAAAGTTTTAGTAACTTTAATGACTTACCATTTTTCTGTTTTTTACATAAAATAATTTATTTAGTAAAATGAGTTATGAGGTCTTTTCTATGGGGAGTTTTAATTTTTTTTTTTTTCCTGGTACCGGGAATCAAACTCAGGACCTTGCACTTGCCAGGCAGGCGCTTGTGCCACTGAGCTGTATCCCCGGCTGGAGTTTTCAACTTAAGTGATATATAAGAAATAATTTTGTAGTCTTGGAGGCTGAGACAAGAGGATCACAAGTTTGGGCTCCGCCTGGGCAGCTTCCCAAGACCATTTCTCAAAATAAAAAATAAAAGGGCAGGGGATGTAGCTTAGTACAAAAGCTCTGAGTTTAATCTCTAGTACTGCAAAAAGAGAAAAAAAAATTGGGGTTCTGTGAAATAAGAGATGAGCAGTCCTAGTCTTTTTCTGCTGCTCGTCACCTTTTTAATGCCTAGTGCTCTTGTAAAACTTGTACACGTTGCTTTGATACTGATACTAGCCACTGGTGTGATTCCGCATTGAACTTCTCATCCTAAATTTTATCCTAGAGGTGCTAGTTAGGATTAAATTTTTAAAATATAATTATCATGTTACCTTGTAAAACTTTTAAATGGGAAGAAAATCTAATATTCTGACATGTTTCCAACATTTTGTAAAGAAAGGGTAGGTTTTCTTACCTCTCTCTTTTTATACCCTTTTTGCCTGGTAGGTTACGAACATTTGGCCCACTAAATATGGATTGTTGTTTGAACGAAACACTTCTTCCCATGAGGCACCTCCAGGTCCACCCAGGTACTCATTTTATTTCACTCAGAATATTGTTACATTGGCTTTTTTAGTGTTGGTTTTGAGGTAAAATTACTAAGCCACAAGTTCTGTTAGATCTAAGCAGCATGCATTCACAAGCTGTATTCTCTTGGCAATTAATTATCTATAGCGCACACGCTCCCATAGTAGAATTGGACAAGCAAGTAGTTTAATGTTAAAAAGATTGAATTCTTAGTTCTGGCTTATTTTCATGGTGCTACATTGGGTAAATCATTAGGATTTCTTGTCTTTAGTTTTCTTATCTGTTACAGAAATATTTTCCTTATCTGTTACAGAAGTACTATCATTGACCTGTTAGGATTTATACAAAGATTTAACAAGCTAAATGTATGGAAGCTTTGAGCCTAGTACTGTGTGTGTTGGGTGCACAGTAAGTGGTAGACGCTTAATGGTGGTGTGTTTACCTGGTCTCCCTCTAAACTGCGAGCTCGTTGAAGGGCAGGAACATACAGCATCTGTCATAGTGTGGTGTAAGAAGTAGATACTAAGTTTTGAGAAAATTGCTTACTAATTTTATGGTTTTTTTGGTACCGGGAATTAAACTCAGGACCTTGCACTTGCCAGGCAGGCCCTTATGCCACTGAGCTATATCCCTGGCCCCTTGCTTACTAATTTTAATCTCTGTTTTGATAGTCTTTTCCCTTCTTTTTAAAAAATCTCTGCTTAAAAACTGGAGTTTCATTTACCTGAAGTATTTCTGCATAAGTGTTCCCTTTGTAATAAACAAGTGTAGGAGGCTAAGTTTCATTCTTAGCTGCAATAGATATACTGCTACTAAGAGAAGCAAATAAAAAAAGGATGACCTTATGCCCCAAACTCTGGGGGTTCTATAATGAGATGACTGCTGTTTGCAAATATTCCCTGGTTTCACTCTGTGTATGTGTAAAATTTTACTGTTAGAAGAGAGATATGTAGGAATGAAATAGACGGTACTATGAACAACAGTATATAAACATCTTAGATGACTGATTTTTGAGATGGAAAGTTCCTAGCTTTTGTAATCTGGAGAACTCCTTTGTAAGGAAAAGTGTGTACAAACCCAGTCGTCTTGTGTCAGTGTTTGACTGATTATGTGTTTGTTTTTTGCTAGAGAACCTTTACCCACTATGTTCAGCATGCTGCACCCACTAGATGAAATAACCCCACTTGTTTGTAAATCTGGAAGTAAGTATTTTTATTCTTTGGCGAAGCTCTTTTTTTTTTAACTTCGGTGGAGGGAGGGAAACTAAAAAGGAGCATATAAAGAAACTGACTTGTTTATAAAAACTAAGATAATTAAGCATGTTACAGGAATAACTTTTATTATGAAAGCAAATCATATTATAGCAGGAACTTCAGTGTCACTGTTCAGCAGTTGTTTTAGTAAAAATAAAGTCATATAAATCAATGAGGAATGCTAATATATTAACCTACCTGTAGATGGCTCTGTTCCTTAATAATTAATGATATTTGAATGAATTAAAGACTTGTTTTTTTGGAAGGAAGAAATGTAGGGCCAAAAAAAAAAGAAAGAAAAAAGAAAGAACTGTAGGGCTTTATGCCTATACTGTGTAAATTTTAGTTTTTTACTTTCTTTACTCAAAATAGCATAATTTACTGGGGCTCAGAACTTTCATTATTTCCTACAGGTATTTCTACATGATTATCCTTACATTTTAAGCTTGACCAAACATGATAGGTAATTATAAATAATGAGGTCTTGAAGCCTGAAAAATTATACCCTTTGGCATTTTGATTTTTAGAATGTGAGCCCAAGTACATATTCTGAAACACCACTGAAGTTCTTATCTTCTATTTCACAGGCTATATCTAGCCTTAGGTTATTTTTGTAAAGTTTATGACCTGAGAATGGTTTTTTCTTTGAGAGGTTGAAGAAAGTGAAGATTATGTGATAGGGGCCGTATGTGGACCACAAAGCCTAAACTACTTACTCTTTGGCCTTTCGTAGAAAAAAATTCATTGACTCTTTTGTATTGTATTGGTAACAACTACAGGCAACCTAAATAAACACGTTAGAGCCTGTGATTAAATGGTATGCAGCTCTTGTTGATTATGTTTTTCAGTAATATTTAATGACCTCAGGAGTTGCTTATTTATAATGTAGGATATTAGGGAATAATAGGATATAAAACTGTGACGTACAGTATGAGTCTAATTTTGTAAAAGCCTGTGAAAGAGGCTGGGTGCAGTGGTGCACACCTGTAGTCCCAACTGTTCAGGAGGTTGAGGCAGGAGAATGGCGTCAACCCAGCAGATTAGGATAGCTGGGGAACATGGTGAGGCCCTATCTCTAATAAAACAAAAAAGCAGGAGGAAAAACTCACTAGTATATTAATAGGAAGGTGGCATTACGAGTGATATTTATTATTTCTTTTTAAAATAATTAATATTTTTATAAAATAATCATTTCTTATGTGGTTCAATATTTTAACTGGGAAGGAAGCATTTTAGGAAGCTGTCCAGCCGGGTGTGGTGGCGCATGCCTGTAATCCCAGCACTCAGGAGGTTGAGACAGGAGGATCATTGTGAGTTTGAGACCAGCCTGGGCTACGAAGTGAGTTCAAGGCCAGTCTGAACTGCATAGCGCGACTCTGTCTCAAAAAGACAAAAAAAAAAAAAAAAAATTAAAAATTTAAAAAAAGGAAGCTGTCCATCATGGATAGGAAAATCAACACATGAAAATAAAAAAAGAGAAAGGAACAAGAAAGAAAACCAATCCATGGTATTTGAGAAGTAAAACCCATAGGAAAAAACCCTGTACACGTGTAACTGTAAAGTAGGAGCAGTAGTGTATTGTTCAGCACTGCTTGATGAGTTATTAAGGAGACAGATTTATACCGATGAACAGAATCATTAAGGAAGTCAAGCTTTGCAAATAACTGATCACAATTTATAAATAATTTGGTTGTTGAAGGAGTCTTGAACCCTTTTCTGGCTAATGAGTTTGAGTCCATGCTGATATTCAGCATTCAGTTGCATGTATGTGAGGTTGAAGCTTTAATGTTTTCATCTTTAATGTATTTTAAGGAAATTGATGCTCACAGTAAATGCAGGGTTAATTATATACTATGTAGTGGTTTGTACCTTAATTGATTTGCTTTCGCTATATCTTTAGGAATTTTAAGAACTTAATTCATAAAGCTCAATTTTATGAAACGCATTGTTTTATTTTTTTTTTTTTTTTTCTTTTCTTCCGGTACCAGGAATTGAACTCATGACCTTGCGCTTGCCAGGCAAGTGCTTTGCCGCTGAGCTAAATCCCCAGCCCCGAAACGCATTGTTTTATGCTGATTGTTTCTATTTTATTTTTAAGGTCTTTTTGGCTCATCACGGGTACAATATGTTGTAGATCAAGCAATGAAAATTGTGTTCCTCAACATTGACCCCTCTATCGTAATGACCTATGACACTGTCCAAAATGTGCATTCCGTGTGGACTCTCCGGAGAGTTAGAGCAGAGGTAAAGATACAGTCATTTCTCCTTAATATGAAGCACAGTTAATACTGACCACCATTGCCTATTTGTGGATGAATCATTTGTGCGACAGAGTGAACTTCTTAGGAAAAGCAAAGTATTTTGTCCTTAATACCTGATATGTGCCCTGCGTTCTCACAAGGAAATTGCTTTTTTATTCTTGTTTTTTTTCTTCATTTTTACTTAAGGAAGAGAATGTTGTCCTAAAGTTCTCTGAACAGGGGGGAACCCCACAGAATGTGGCCACTAGCAGCTCCCTCACAGCACATCTGAGAAGCCTGTCCAAAGGCGACTCCCCCGTGGCATCACCTTTCCAGAACTACTCCTCCATTCACAGCCAGAGCCGCTCGGCCTCGTCACCCAGCCTGCACTCTCGGTCACCTTCCATTTCCAACATGGCAGCTCTAAGGTGGACGTGTCTCCTTGCTTTAAACGAGATCCCAAGCAACAGATGCCTTCTTTTCTAGATTTCTCTTACGTTTTGAAGAATTAAAAATTTTCTTGGACAAGTCTTGGGTAATTTTTAGGGGAGATAGCTATAATCTCAGTTGTGCTTCTTTTACTAAGACTTGTAAGTCTACTATGTCGTTTCTCTGTGATGAGACAGATCTAGAAGTTGCTTTTGCTGTCATAGGATTGCTTTGTTTCTTCCAGTGTGTGGCAGCAGTTTGATGAGTATTAATTCCAAAAATATTGTAGTAATTTTTTTTGTTTTAATTTATACTAGTTTTTCTTTTGATCATTGAAATCTATATATCTTCTGGTACATGTATGTATCTTTTTGTGATTTATATATGATGCTACAGGGACATAGTTTTGTTGGTTTGTATATACCTGACTATACAGGAACATGCTTTAGAGTAGACTTTTGAGTAATATAAACAGTTCATTTCCTGAGGAAGGAAATGAGTTTTCAGTTTAAAAAAAAAATATATTATTTTACCAAGAATTCTAACTCTTTAGAATGTAGTAAAGTACATTGGCATGAACCACTGAACTAGCTTTTTTCCTTTTTTAAATTTTTAATTTCTGATTGGAATTGTGCCAGGAATGCTTTTCTGTACATAGCTTTGGGAGGTATGGCTGGAGTGTGCATCATATGAGCCTACCTTGCTAACTGTGCCGCCCTCCCTCTTTTGCAGCCGTGCTCACTCTCCTGCCTTGGGGGTGCACTCCTTTTCAGGGGTGCAGAGGTTCAGCCTTTCAGGCCACAACCAATCTCCAAAGAGACACAGCATTTCTCATTCTCCAAATAGTAATTGCAATGGCTCCTTTCTTGCACCAGAGACAGAGCCAATAGTTCCTGAATTGTGCATTGATCATTTGTGGACAGAAACAATCACTAACTTAAGGTTTGGAGTATATAATTTTGTATTTAAAGAAAAACATTGCTATTTGAGAATCTAATGATTATTAAAGCCTACAACTTTCCTGTTTATTGCTCTGCTTTCTAGCTTTCTCTTATGTTCTGAAGCATTTAAATTTTTTGTTGACAAGTCCTGCATATTTTTTTAGGGGAAGTAGTGTAATCCCAGTTGTGCTTCTTTTACTAAGACAGAAGTCTACTGTGTCGTTTTTCTTTTATCAGGGAAGTTATAGGCTTGTAAGTGGCAGTCAAGACCGTACGGGGGATTACAGTTTCAGCAACATGTAGAGCAGGTTCCTGGGGCTCTAGGAGGATGTGCAGATGAGTGTACAGCTCCAGAGGTTCTGTTAACTCTCTGGAGTTGTGTTCGGTCGTCATGTGTATGAGTGCAGTGTGTAGGCCTTTTCCTAAATATAGAGGGTTTTAATAATACCAGATTGTGCAAGGGGTCTGTGACCTCCAGACAGTTTTAAAATCTAGTGGTGGAGAAGCATAAAGAGGGACAGGGACTGAAATACAGGATATGTAGAATTTGGGGGCAAGGGTTGCAGAAAGGCAAAGCTACTGCAGAAAGACAAAACCAGGTCAGATGGGAGTAGCAGCAAGGAGTATCACAGAACGAACACATTTCTAGAAGAAAGGCGCCAGCACTGCCCGGCGTTGATGCGTTGCGGCTCTGAGAGGGAGGGGCAGTGAGTTAGCTTGTGACTGGGGCCAGAGTGGAGCAGGTTAGAAAAAGTAAATGGGGCTGAGGAAGTGAATTAAGCACGCGGACTATTTTGAGAAGAGTTTGCCTTTGAAGATGAGGGTCTAGAACTAGCTAGTGGAAGGCTTAAGGGTCAAGAAGTATTTCGGTTTTGCTGAACCGTACTAAAGAAAATTAGTCTTTATGAAATTGTACCGCTAAATACCTTGGCGTGTATCTAAAATGTGAGGACATTTTCTGAAATAGCCACAATACCATTTTTACTTCCACCAAATTAATAATCCTTTTATATCACCTAACATTGAGTTCACCTTGCTTCAAGAATTTAAATTTGAGAGAGAGGCTACTAGGACTAACAGCAAGGCAAGCGTTGAAAATACAGGGGAAAGAAATGGTTGCTGAACAGGGAACCAGAAGGAAACACAGTGGAGAGATTAGCCCTGAGGAGGAAGGAGTGATGGTTCATCTCACACGTAGATGGTGATGTTCAGTTCTGCATACGGGTGTGTTGTGTCTTCAGGTTTAGTCATGATCCAAGTAGTCTTCTTGAAGAATATCTTCAAAGATTTTTGCAGTAGTTACAAGGTAGATTTGTTTGGGATCAGTGCTGACGATTTCTTTATTAATATATCTGTTGCAGAGAGAAAAATTCACAGGCTTCCAAGGTATTCATTACGTCTGACCTGTGTGGACAAAAGTTCTTATGCTTTTTGGTGGAGTCCCAGCTCCAGTTACGGTAAGTTTGTTTCCCATCATTTTTATGTAAATAATTTAGGGATCCTTCCTCCCTTTTTCCTTTGCTCCCCCTTTTTTTTCTCGACCAGCTTTAGGGAAACAATTTGCCATAAACTTGACATGTTTTGAGTGTATAATAATTTTTAGTAAATTTACAGTTATGCAACCATCCAACAAACTAGGTTTTTTTGTTTCTGTTTTTTTTGGTACTGGTATTTAAACCCAGAACCTTCATAGTGAGCCACATCCCCAGCATTTTTAAATTTTTCTTTAGAGATGTGGCTTTGCTACATTGCCGAGGTTGGGCTTGAACTTGAAATCCTCTGGCCTCAGCCTCACATACTGCTGGGATTACAGGCCAGTGCCACCATGCCCGGGTACCACAGTCCAGTTTAAAATATTCTTATCACCGTAAAAAGATTTCTTTGTGCCCATTTGGAGTCAGTCTCATTTTTATTGCTAACGTCCAACAACCATGCTATAGATCCTCTGCCTCTATTAGTCTGTTCTGGACCTTTTTATGTAAATAGGACTATACAGTCATATAATCATATTTACAGTTTTTGTAGGGTAAGCTTTTTCACTTTTCAGTCTGCTTTTAAGGATTCACCATGTTGTAACATGTATGAATAATTCATTCCTATTTCCAGATAGTAGTTTATTGTATAGGTATACCACATTTTATCTGTTCGTCAGTTAATGGTGTGAGTTATTTTTCCTTTCTGACAATTGTGGATTATGCCACTGTGCCCCTTTGAGCAGAGGTCTTTGTGTAGACCTATGTGATTTCAAATTTTGTGGGTAGACAAGTAGGAGTAGAATTGTTGGGTTGCATGTTAAGTTCATTTTTAACTTTATAAGTAATTGCCAAGTTGATTTCCAAGTAGGCTGTAGCAGTGTACATTCCTACCACCCATGTATGAGGGTTCATGTCTCTTTATCTTGGACAACTTCGGATATTGTCAGTATCTTTGAATATAGCCATTTAGTGGATGTGAAGTGGTTTAAATTTGCATTTTCCTAATGCCTTCTGATGTTGATCATCTTCTCATATGTTATTAGACATTCATCTTCTCGTTTATTTATCTTTTCACTTTGAAAAAGAGATCACAGGAAGATTCAGATAGTGAAGGGGTCACATCTTACATAACTATAGTACATTATCAAACCAGGAATTAATATCATTATGACCCATGCACCTTCTTTCACATTTCATCAGTTTTATATGTACTCAATTATGTGTGTATGTTAATGATTCCATGCAGTCTTCTCACATGTGTAGATTTGTGTAAATGCTCCTACAATCAAGACACAAAATACCCTTATTAATTTAAAGATTTCCTCGGTGCCACCCCTGGATAGGTCACCTTCCCAGGGTGACGCTATCCCATGTCCCTTTCCACCCTCAGTCCTTGGTAATTTGTTCTCCGTCACTGTAATTTTACCATCTGAGAATGTTATATAAATGGAATCATTCAGTGTTTAACCTTTTAAGACTGTCTTTTTCCATTCAGCATGATGCTCTTATGACTCGTACAGTTTGTTGCATATATCAGTAGTTTCTTTTTTTATTTTACTGTTTAGCTGTGTAAAGTTTCAGGAGAGTAATGATAAAACCCAACTCATCTTTGGCTCCGTCACCAACATACATGCAAAGGATGCAGCACCAGTGGAGGTAAATGCATGCACATTTCTTGAGAAGTTGAAAATTATTTCAAAATTATTAATTTTCTCAGATCAGAAAAGGAGTTTTTGTCTTTTTTTAAAGAAAATAGACACCATGCTGGTCCTAGAAGGCAGTGGAAACCTGGTGCTCTACACAGGAGTGGTTCGGGTAAGTACTGGTGAGACTTCATGCTTTTATGTAGTAGGACTGCCTCCTTCATTTAACATTTGTTACATTCTTCCATGTACAATTTGACAGAAGATTAAGTTGAAAATGAAGTTTCTAGTGTTGGCTGGTCCTGAGCTGAGTGTGGTGGCACACGCCTGTAATCCCAGCACTTGGGAGGCTGAGGCAAGAAGATTACCACAAGCTCAAAGCTAGCCTGGGCTCCATAAGGAGTTCAAGGCAAACCTGAACTATGTGGCAGGAGCTTATTTCAAAAAAATAAAAAACAAAACAAAACAAAAAACCAAACACCAAACTACAAAAATAATGTTGGCTGGCCCTAATTTGCAGGGCTGGGGTTAATTGCCATTAGATGAATTGTAAGTGTGAACCTGGCACAGATGGGAAGCCTTTAATGGATACAGGGAGACTTTAGACAAACAAAAAACTGTCAACTAAACTACTTTTAAAATTGGTTACAAAAATTGGTGTATGAGTAACTTGGTAAGTCCCAATGTTTTGTTAAGTTTTATTATATTAAATACATTAGGTACATCTTTCTTTTTCAGCATTTCTGAGTTTTATATACAGCATAATGTGTTTAGTAAGTTTACTTTGTGAAGTTTAAGTACAGTATATGCACACAATTTGAAGAATAATGAAGTGAATATTCAGATAACAATGTCTGACTGCTCTTATCAACATACTACCTTATAGATTGCTTTGCTCTATTATTTAATTCTCTTAAATATTAACTGTACAGAAAGAACCATAGCATTGCAGTTTTTAGTATTAAATATCAGACATAAAATAGTTTTAAAATTACATAAAAATTATGCTTATATTTCAGATTTTCTGTATATTTTTATTTCCTTTTTGAGTTATCTTTTGTCACTTTTTTAGTGCAGGTGTGCTGCCTTTAATACTTTGTAGCTTTTCTTCACCTGAGAACATCTTCATTTCACTTTCATTCCTGAAGGAGAATTTACTGGCACTATATAGGATGCTGGGTTGACAGGTCTTTTCTTTGAGCACTTGAAAAATGTACCCCTTCTTCTTGGCTTTCCTGATAAAAAATCTGTTCTCTTGATTTGTTTTTCCCTGTAGTAGTGAATGCATCTCATTTTTTCTGGTTGCTTTTAAGATTTTTTTCCCTGTTTAAAAAAATTTTATCATGTGACTGGTATAAATTTCTTTGGGTTTAAACCTGTTCGTTCTCACAGGTCTTATATGTTTAGGTCACATAATTTGTGACATGCTTAGACATTTTTGGAAATATATTTTCAGTTTTTAGTGCACAAATGCCTTTTTTCCTCTCTCTTGGTACTAGGAATTGAACCCAGGGTCTGTGCACTAAGCTACATCCCTGGCTTGAACTTGGGCTCCTTCTGCCTCAGTGTTCTAGGGTGCTTGATTCACACGTGCCACCAGCCTGTAAATACATACTCTGTATGGCATCGTACTGTGCATACTGTCTTGTTAGCTGTTCTTTTTCGAATGTTTTCAGCTCCCCACTTTTTCCCTTCCTTGGTTCTCTGATGGTGTGAATGCTTGATATTTTACTGCTGTCCTATATACAGGTCCCTGCAGCTGTATTCATGTTTTAAGCTATGTTGTTTCTTGTGCGCTGCTGTGTTATTAGAGAGTGAGGACAAAAGCCAGGGCTTCTGCCCCCTTCACAGCCACTGCACCAAATGGGAGGTAGAGAAGTGCAGCTCCGTAGTCTCTGTGGTGGGAGGTCCTAAAGTAGAGGGAGAGGGATGTTGCCCCCTTCCTACAGAGCAGGGGTGTGAGCCTGACTTGGCTGCATCCTCTGCTGGGGGTGCAGGGCCACCTGGTCCTTGCAGAGTGAGAACGAAAGACAGGGCTGTGGGCGTAAGTTTCCAGGCCGTGGTTCCTGGTGAATGAAGAGTGTGTGTGAGTGTGTGTGTGTGTGTGTGTGTGTGTGATGGGGAGGGGATGAGGTTAGTTTTTTGGTAGTGTTTGCTTACGAGTAGGACAGGGATGGTGGGAGTGTTTCTGACCTGCTTGGTCACTCTTGCCAGTACTTTGGCTAGGAAAACAAAGTTTCTTGGAGCCTCTTAAATCTTTGGCCATGAGGACGTCTCTTTGAGATCCTTTGGGAATCCAGGGACTGGCTATGTAAGGAGTTAAAAAAAACCCCTGCTGAACCCATTGGGTTGACCATGGGTCTTAGGTTCCTAGCTAGTCTTATCTTTTGTACTTACTTTTTGGAGTCTCCTGTTAGTTGAACTATAAATTTTGGACACATTTTTTTTCAATTTGGCTGTTAGTGGAAGAAATAATTTGCAATATGCTTATTAGTGGAAGAAATAATTTGCAATATGCTTATTCCGTCGTTTCATGAGCTGAGTTAGATAGCTTTAAAAAACTTTTTATGTGCTATATTAGTTCTCATTGTCATTTTTGTTTTTTAAGCCTAAGGATTTTATTCGGGCAGCTACTGTTAATTTCACTTTAGTTCTGAGCATCTCCCTTTAGTCTCACCAAATTTTTACCCACTATGGATGTGTTTTGCCTGAGAACCCTACAGATAGTTGAAATATCAGGGGGTTAACATAGATTGCCCTCACATGCTTTTAAGGTGAATGATAAATTTATTCTACTTTATGCAAAGCGTTTTTTTTTTTTAAAGAACTAGTACAGAGGTTTATGATGGGAGGCAGAAATGATGAGCTGGAGAGTACAGTTTGAATTAGGTTAGATTTAATTTCTTGAGCATCACCCAACCTTACATTTTTTGCCTTTTTTAATAACTGGGTATCTGTCTGCTTTAAGACTTAGTTAACAAGATAACTGCTTAAGTCTTCTGAAAGCTTTGCTGTCTTTACTACCAGTAAGGTAGCAAAAAGCATCCTGTGCGGGATTTTGTGTAATGTCTTGATCATTTAACATTCTCCCCCTTTCCTACAAAGTAAAGTTTTTAATGAAGAGAAATCAGACAAGAGAATTTATACTAAGGTATTTGCAATTGCATGATGGGATTTGAAAGATCATTGAAATACTGATTCTGTTTGTTTTTTAGTTGTGTTTGGTGAACATAAACTCTAACATGTCAGGAGAAAATGCTTATGCAGTGTGATAAAAATATACAGTGAACTGGGCGTGATGGCACACTTCTGTAATCCCAGCACTTGGGAGGCTGAGGCAGGGGCATCATTGTGAGTTCAAGACCATCCTGGGCTACAAAGTGAGCTCAAGGCCAGCCTGAACTGCATATTGAGACCCTGTCTCAAAAAGACAAAAAAACAAAACAAAACAAAACAAAAAAACATATATATGGTGAATGTTTAAAGTTTTAAAAATGTATTATAAGGCCGGGGATATATATATATTTTTTTTTTTTTCCGGTACTGGGAATCGAACTGACGACTTTATGCTTGTTAGGCAGGCACTGTGCCGCTGAGCTAATCTCCAGCCCAGGGCCGGCGATATAGTTCAGCAACATAAGCGTTTGCCTGGCAAACCTGAGGTCATGAGTTCGATTCCTGGTACCAAAAAAAAAAAATGTATTATAGCAAAAAACACTGCTATTAATCCCTGTCTCCTTGAACACATCCCCTTGTTCTTGCCACTTCCTTTCCTTTTTTTTTTTTTTGTCTTTTTTGAGACAGGTTCTCACTGTGCAGTTCAGACTGGCCTTGAGCTCGCTATGTAGCCGGATTGGTCTTGAACTTGCAACAATCCTCCTGCCTCAGCCTCCCGTGAGCTGGGATTACAGGTGTGCGCCACCATTGCCCGGCTTCTTACCACTTTCTGAAGCAGTTCTGGAAGTCCTCTTTCCTGAGTCCTTCCCTAAGTATGATAAAAAAATATGGTGACTGTTGCTGCCAAGTGCCATCCAACAGAAAGGATGGCTTGTGAAAACTCCTGTCTCTCAAAGTCAAACTGACCATGGAAAGTAAACATTTTGAAGTGATTCAGGACATTCAGGCAGCCACGAGAGTGCAACTAAAGGTATTCATGAAAGAGCACTTCCAGAACTGCTTCAGAAAGTGGCACAGATGATGGGAGAAGTGTGTTTGAATTGAGGGGCTTTCATGGCAATGTGTCTTTTACTGTAATGCTTAAAAAAATTTTTTTAGAGATTCATTATATTTTTTGCTCATGTCTTGTATGTACCCTAACATTTTATGTAAGAATATGGTGCATTCAATAAAGCTAATATTTTTTTTCCCAACGTCTTTCTGTTGCTCAAAGGTGGGAAAGGTCTTTATTCCTGGCCTGCCAGCTCCTTCCCTGACGATGTCCAGCACAATGCCTCGGCCCAGCACACCGCTGGACAGTGTTAGCACTCCCAAGCCTCTTAGTAAACTCCTCGGGTCAATGGATGAGGTAAGAAATGAATTAGGTGTTGTCAAAAATTAATATTATCTTAAAGAAATTTTGTTGAATGTTAGTTCTTTCCATGGTTAATTTAATTTTATGTAACACTTACAGAACACATAGTTTCAAACACAAATGGTAGTTACCATACATTCCTCTTCTTGTGATGTGTGTGGTACTCTTTGAAGGTGGTAGAGAAATGAAAATGATACATTCTTTTCCATCTAGGGATCTCACAATTTACTTGGGTAGATTCTGTCTGTGTAAGAAATTATAACTTAAGGTATACTGTTCAGACTTGTGAATGAAGAACCAAAAGTATCCTAGCAGATTCCCTGCTGGGACAACGCCCCGGAACCAAAGCCTCATCTCTAAGTGACATGTTGGACTAGGCCTGGACCTAGAGGATAGGTGGGGTCCCTGTCTTTATAAAGGGCATTGGACCGAGGAGGAATCACACAGCCAATGCCTGAAGGCACGAGAGTATAGACCATTTTTATATGCATGTTTGCATCTCCATCTGCTAACACATGCATTAAGGGTTCAACACATCTGTGGAATGAAGACTTAAAAAGTACTTCATTTAAGTAGTCAGGTGAGTGTAGATGGATAAGGAGTAGGATATTGATCATCTTTTTTGGGCAGTTTCTATGTGCAAGGCACTGGTCCATGTGCTTTATGAGCTTTAACATGTAAGTGCTTAGAAGAGCTAATTTCTTTGAGAAGGTACTGATGTGATCCTGTTTTACAGATGGATGCACTGAGGTACATGGAAGCTACATGAAGTCATAGCACTGACAAGTGGTAGAACTGGGATTTACGCTCTTACTGATGTGTTCTTAATGGTGGAAAGGATGAAAAAGGTGGTTTATTCTGAATGCAGTTGCCAGGGCATTATAGGCTTTTTGAGCAGGAGTTTTGGGTGTCATGGTCTGTTTTAGATTAACTTTATCTTGAGGCTGAAGATAGGGAGATGAGTTAGCCTCCAAGTGAGGACCGTGAAGTGCAGAGGGTCTGAGCTAAGGCGGAAGTGTAGAAATGAGGGAAGTGACCCTAGAGGCTGGAAAGGTGTAAATGCCAGTTTGTCAGCTGACTGGTTTTGTGCGAGGCTTAAGATAGGTGCTGAGGAAGAGGCCCGGGATTCTCTGAGCAGTGTGTGTAGGTACCTATGCTTTCTGAGCTAGGAAGCCTAGAGGAAAGTAGACTGGATTTGAGGGCCATCTAAGCGCAGACGTGTAGGGCCCATTCAGAGAGAAGGTTAGTGCTGGCAATCGTGTCAGAGAATTAAATATGCAGAACAGGGAGCATTTTCCTTCAAGTCAGCACACGTGTAGAACTTTCAGAGGAGAAGCTGGAGAAGTGTCAGAGGTTTTTATTATATGATTTGGAAGAATTTTTTTCATAATAAAACTGGTTTCCAGCCAGACATGGTGGCTCATGCCTGTAACACTAGCACTGTGGGCAGTTGAGGCAGAAGAATTGAGCCCAGACTTGGCAACTTCTTGACTTAGCGAGACCCTGTCTCAAAATAATAAAATAATGGCTTGAGATTTAGCTCACTGTGAGGTCTTGGGTTCAATATCAGTATGGCCAAAAAAAAAAAACGGTTTTTACTCTTGTAGATGTCTATAAACCTAAGAGTGGTTAGTGTCTTTTTGCTAACTGTGAAGTTACAAGACACATAGTGTAGCACACTGGCCAATGGCTTTCCCATTTCTCTGGCAGGTTGTGCTACTAGATGGAGAGCTAGGACCAGTGGAGCTGAATTTTTCAGATTAACTATTGTAGTACAGCTAGATGTGTTGAATTAGAGAACTACAAAAAGGGTCAGTGGTCATGACCAGAGATTTAAGATTAAATTATGTCCATAGTTAATAACAAAGGCTATTTACATTTTTTTATGTCTGTAGTTAAGAACATAATTCTTGTTCTTATATTTTTAAATAAATAATTTGCTTATACAGGAAATGCCTCTAAGTAGTAGTCTCATTTCATTGCTTTTTCAGCACTCTCCTTTGTTTTTGGATTGATTGTAAGTTCCTTGAGTTATGTCTGCCTCAAATTATAGTTTATGTCTCTAACTCTGTAAGATTGCCAAAACTGCTGCTGCTCCCCCTCGGTGAGCCTCAGCTTCCCTGCATCTTCAGCCTGTCAGCCTGCCCCTCCCTGCTTCATGCAAATCCCAGGTTCGGGAAAGCAGGTCAGAATGTCGTCTCCTCCCTGTGGTTCCCTTCTTGTCTTAGGTCTTGGTCCCTTGATTCCAGGTTGCCTCCATAGCTATCAGTCAGATACTTTACTCTTTTAACTGCGTTTTGTAGTTGTTTTCTGTAAAGACCTTGGTCTGCTGCAAGCTCCTTGATGATAGAGCAGAATGACTTTAAATCATTACATACAGTCGCTTGATAGACTGCATACAAAAAAAAGCAAGTTAAGTTTCTTTTATCCTTAATTTTTTCAAAAGTACTTCATTTGTGTTATATTTATAACTTTACAGGTGGTGCTATTGTCCCCAGTTCCAGAACTGAGGGATTCTTCAAAACTTCATGATTCTCTCTATAATGAGGATTGCACTTTCCAACAGTTTGGAACTTATATTCATTCTATCAGGGACCCCGTCCATAACAGGGTAACTCTAGTAAGTATATCTCTTAAAAGATTAGTAATTTTCTAAGAGATATGGGTGACATTTTAAATTTGTCAAGATGTAGAATTTTGTCTGCAAAATGAAAAGAATTGTCATGATTTTTGAAATGTATTGTCATTTTTGGTACTCTTACTGTTAAGTAATTCTGCTTATGTTTTCTGAAGTTTCTTGCAAAAAATATGTGGAAAACAAGCATGTTCAAGCAGTTGAATTGCATATTGCTATGGTTTTTGTCTTTTCATTGAAAGTAAGTCACTTTTGATGATAGTAACTTTTAGTGTTTGTATAAAAATTAGTTTTTATTAATACTCTACTGGAACTTTTAGAAGTGTTTTACAAATAAGCACATTTGTAAGATTACATTTCTGTTTGAAAAAAATACTTTTATTTAGTTGAATTTTGCATTGACAGTCTTATAAAGCACCATCTGTTTTTTTTTTTTTTTTTGTTTGTTTGTTTTTTCTGGTACTGGGAATTGAACTCACGACCTTGTGCCTGCCAGGCAGGCACTGTGCCGCTGAGCTAAATCCCCAGCCCAGCACCATCTGTTTTTAAAACATTGCGAGGCTTAGAATTCTCAAATTCTTTTTATCTTTTCTTATTCCATTGTTTTCTCTAGGAACTAAGTAATGGCTCCATGGTTAGAATCACTATTCCTGAAATTGCCACCTCTGAATTAGGTATGATTGAAAGTCAAACTTCACTTTTATGTGTTCTTAGTTTGAGCTATAAGGTTAGGAGTAATTGCTGCTTTACACCAATAATAGGGACTCTAAAAATTATGTTGCCATTGTTGAAGCCACTAGACCAGGTTTTTTGTTTCGTAGAGAAGCTGTAAATAGCTGGGGAGCACTTTGCCATGTGTGCTCCACGCACACTGAGGCTGAAATAGAGTTGGAAGGTAACGCTCTTCCTCTGAGATGCTTGTTTTCAGACAAGATCTTATCTTTTTGCCTAGCCTGGCTTTGAACTCCTGGGGTCAAGTGACCTTCCTGTCTCATCCTCCCAAGTAGGGAGACTACAGGTGTGGGTCTCTTGCACCTGGCTCCTCTGAGCTTCTTAGGCTGAGATGTACAGAACCATGCAGTGAGATTACATATAGGGACATGCCTCTTGCAGGAAACTCTGTGGAACAGGAAGCCTAAGCAACTGAAATATTTGTTGGCATATTTAATGATGTTTCTAATCCTAAAATAAATTTCTCACTTTTTAGGTAAATTGAACAATCAACATAATTGCCTTGATTATAGTCAAAATGCAGCCACAGATATTTTTAGAAATATTAGTGTCTGCCTGAATTATAACTGAAGTGCAATTTGGAAGATAGTAGCAGAGAGTATTGCTGGAGGTAGAAAGGTAAACAAAATATTAGAGTGGATTTTGTCAACAAATATAAAAATACCTAATAAAGTACGTGATGGATTAGTTTCAGAATCTAACTCCAAAGCAAGGCATCAGCAGATTGTAGATTAAAGTGACTTTATTTTAGGAAGCTTTTCTTTGCATTTGGTAAATGATATTTGAAATTTGTACAGGGAATCCTTGCTTTTCTCAAAGGTATTTTTAGTGAGGAATCGCAGGACCAAGTACCTAAAATAAGCCCAAATAAAATATATAAAAACAAATAAGGGAGGAAATAAAAACAAAATAAGATCTTACACTTTTTCAAGCCAAATAGAATTCACATAGTTTATAAGAGAATGTGTTTTTAAAGGGTTCCTTAGACTCGGTGCAGCATGTGGTTTGCACTTACTTTGGATTCAGCTATGGTGTTCTTAGTTAATTGGTTTTCTAACATTTCCTGTTGCTTGCTTCTGATCCTTGCTGTCTGTGCTCACAGAGCGGATTGATGATGAAAATCCATGTTGCTGAGAATGGACTCAGCAATTCCGGTACTCTGTAGAGTGAGGCAGGAGGATTACCATGAGTTTGAAGCCAGCCTATGCTATGTAGTAAGTTCAAGGTCAGCCTGAACTACATAGCGGGACCCTGTCTCAAAAAAACAAAACAAATCCTATAGAGAGAGAGTATGAGAATGGAAAAATCATTGCAGTTTGAGATCTATTACTACTGAAGTAGATCCAGAACCTTCAACAATAGTTCCCACTGCCTCTGGGTCACCACATGACAGTGTAGTGCTGTAACCGGTGTTCACGCTAACAACTCTGTCATTAAGAATACTTTAACATACATGGTATTTCTCCTAATTCAAGACACGGTGTATGAAGTCGTTGTAGGAACTGAATGAAAAGTGACAAAGCTTTGTTGATAGGAATGTTCGCCCATTTAGAAGATCTCATAATGCTAGCTGAGCATTGCTATGTGTGATGCATATATTTTATATTACATATTTACTAAGTTATTTAAGTAATATTTCATGTAAATTTATTGATGTAGAAATTATGTTTTTCAGAGTGACCTTTATTATCCAAACCAGGACATTTTTGAGTCAAAGGACAAACAGTTGCTAATGGTTGGGACAGTTGATGTGAATCAGAATTGTCTCAGTGAACTGATCCAAAATTAACGATCAGACCGCTGCCCTCAGGCCTCTTACCAGCTCTGTTTAATTCAATAGCTGGTTCACGTTTCAGATGATTGCCTGGGTGATATTTGCATTGGCTGCCTGGTTCTGTAATGACAGTTCTCTTTTCAAAGTAATTGCCTTGTACATAGTAATGGTTTTTTTTTTTTTTGCATAGTAGTAATATAAAAACTTTCTTATTAAAAGGGGGAAAGAAATGCATACATAGGAGGCATATTAAAATTAATCTTTGCTTTTAATAGTACAAACATGTTTACAAGCGATTAAGTTTATCCTGCCAAAGGAAATAGCAGTCCAGATGCTTGTGAAGTGGTACAATGTCCACAGTGCGCCGGGAGGACCCAGTTACCACTCAGAGTGGAGTTTGTTTGTGGTTTGCCTCATGAATATGATGGGTTATAACACAGACCGCTTAGCATGGACCCGAAACGTAAGTTAACACTTGTTTTTATCATGAATTATTCTTTTATCAATGTAATGTTTGTAGTATTGATAATACAGCTATTGAAAATATAAGATATCGGTGTAATAATAGGTATACTGTATTCAAAATATTGAAGTAATACCAGAGCTTATAGTATTTGTATGTCATTTAATACCTAATAACATTTTACTAGTAATTATATTTTTGAATCTTTGTAATGTTCTACAGCATGTTTGACTATTTCTCATTTTATCTTTGTAAAATGACCTCAAGTTCATGGCTTGGATTAATGATGGTTGTGTGTTTTTGAGAAAGAAACTGAATCACAGAGAGATTATACACTTGTGATTTGCTCAAAACAGACTGGATTCTGTCTTCTGACTCAGTGCTTAATGTTCTTGTCTGCAGGCAAGACCGTGTTTTCATATACATATGGCTTGGTATGTGAAGAGGCAGGCTTGATTCTAGGAGATTTAAAGAGTTAGCCAGAGTTATCTATCCTGTCAGTGGTATACAGCTGTATCCTTCGCCCTCTTCCCCCAGAATAGTTCTTGCAGACCCTTCATAGATTATTTACCAAGTTAGCGTCATGTCTTCAGTACCAGTGAGTCCCTTTTGCTCCCAGGACAGCCTTGCCTGGGTCACTGACGAAGTCGTTCTAGAACGCACTTAACCTTTGTCTAGGTAACTCAGCTGTACTGTACCCACAGATACATTTCAGTCTGGTGCTAGCAAAGACCTTTGAAAATTAGTCTTCATTATGAAGGTGTATGTGCTTAGTGAGGAAAATTTAGAAAATTGAGCAATTAAGAAGAAAATAATTATACGGTAAAACTTAAAATAACTACCCTAGACATTTTTGGTGTTGGCTTTTATATAAAAATGGTATCAGTGGAAATTTCCCATATCATTAAAATTTGTTAAGGAAAACTTATTTTATTATCATCACTAACCAACAGCTAATAACTGGGAATTGTTGAGTTTTTCTTATGAATGATTTGCAAACATCCTTTTTCACATAAACCTTTAACTATGGATACATTGTTACATAGATACATACACAGAATTGCACCCCCTCTCATTTTCATTGTAGTGTATTTTACTTATTTATTTTGTTTGCGTGTCCCTCTTCCCCTCTACTGGAGTGACATCTTACCGAGGAAGGGAGTTTTGTTGAGCTTTGTCCATGACTGTCTCCTAGGACCTGTAAAAGTGCCTGGCACAGGTGACTGCTCAGTGAGCCTTTGATGAATGAATGCCCTGGACACTGTTTTTGAGAGCTTGTGTCCGTGGTGGCACATGAAAGACCTGCCCTCTGCAGTTTACATGAGGAAACTCTTCACTGAGAGAACAAGGACAGTTTTCTTTTAAACAGTTGCAGTTCCATTCACATCCAACTCCATCCCCAATTTTTCCATACTTTATTACATATGAAAAGATTAAACCTTATAGAAAGAGGATTTCTAAATTATAAATAAGTGCATTTCAGCTTTTTGTAGTTTTATGTAAAAATGTAGTACTGACCCACAGAATTCGTTGAGGAGGGTAGACCGATGTACCCATTGTCTGGCAGAGAGTGATCCCACCTCGTGTTTCTGCGTTGTGGGGAGCACTCAGCACCCACTGTTTTTTCTTCTCTAGAGAAGGACATGGCTCATTGCCTGAGGAGTATTTACTGTATGACAGTCTAAAGTAGTAGTGCTGAATCTATGACACACGTGCCCCAGCAGGCTTTTTGTTTAGAGCTTTGGAAGCTCTAAATGATTGGCCATCATTGGTCTAAAGGAAGGAAGAAGAAAAACCTTAATTATTTGAAAGAACCAGGGCCTCACTATATTTCCTACGCTAGTCTCCGTCTCCTAGGCTCAAGCCGCTCTCCCATCTTGGCCTCTGGAGTAGCTGGGACTAGAGGTGCTGCCACTGTGGCATGCCTGAAATTCAGTTTTTGATACTGGGTTGCTTTTATATTTATTTATGGGATTGTATAATTAAGCCCTTGCTGTCTATCTTTTCTCCCCATGGTCAAGGCTGGGGATGAAATGGACCTCACTGGCAAATAGTTTTCAGTTTGCTTTGTCCAGATTTACCCCCTTTTTGTTTTAATTTACCTTGTGCAGAGTGCAACATTTCTGCCAGTAAGTTGTTAATAGTGCTTGGTGCTTTATTTGTTCTGGATGTGCCTAAAGGTTCTTTCCCTGCTGAAAGTGTGATATCCGTCATTTTACAAGCTGGACAGCGAAGAGGATGATGGCTGCAGTGCCTGTGAGTGCAGGCACTGTGCTAGATGCTTTATATTTATGATTAATTTCATCTGCACGATGACCTGGAAGAGAGATTTATACCATGATTTTCTGGGTGGAAAAAATAAGTTTTGATGGCTTTTTTCAGTTTCTATAGGTAGCAGAACTGACTGCTGGATCCTTTTAATTTTATTAAATGACAGTAATAAATTTATGATTTTGTCTTCTCTTTTGGGATATTTTCCAGTTTGACTTTGAAGGATCACTTTCTCCTGTCATTGCTCCCAAAAAAGCAAGGCCTTCTGAGACTGGATCTGATGATGTAAGCATTGTTATTTCTTGCCTATAGAAATGAATGTATGGATATCTGTACTGGTCTTCCACATCTGTGGTTTCCTATCCATTTGTCTCTTTCCAACATCTTTTGCTTTATTAATTTTAAAATTCAATAACAGTTATTTTGAGTAGTAAGATCTGTTGTGCTTTGTAAGGGGATCCATTCACTTTTGTCTTTAATCATCATCTGAAAATCACTATCACTTTCATTCAGCGCAGTGTCTTAGAGGTTCATGCACACTGTTGCAGGTTCAGTTCTTCCTTTTTATTGCTGTGTACGAATGCGCCATTGTTTGTTTATCCACTCTGCTGCTGATGGAGATCTAGGCTATTTCCATTTTTGACTCTTCACAGTAATAGTGCCTCTAACATTTGGTAACAGGTCATTGTGGATATAACAGTTTTATTTCTCTTGGATAAATATTTGCCCGTGAAATTACTGGGCTGTTCCTGATTTGCAGACTAGTTGTCCCCCTCACCCTCCGAGCAGTACTGTGTGAGCATTCCTCTTACCCTGCGTCTTTGCCAAGGTTTGCTGTTGTCAGTGTTTTTCACTCTGACCATGTGAGTGTGTGAAGTAGTTTCTCTTAGTGATTTTAATTTACCTTTCCTTGATGCCCATTGATGTTAAGCACTTTTTCTTGTGCTTTTAGCTTTTTGTAGTTTCTTTTAAAATCTTTATCTGATTTTAGATGAATTTTAAAATATTTATTGATGTGTAGAAGTTTCAATGTATTCTGGACATGAAATCTTTATTTTATACTTGTTTTGAGAACATTTTCTCTTTTTAAATGCCTATAGAACATTACATTTTTATTTATTATTGTTTTTCTTTTTTTGTTTGTTTTTGTTTTTTGGGTTTTCTCCGGTACCGGGAACCAAACTCACGACCTTGCGCTTGCCAGGCAGGCGCTTTGCCACTGAGCTAAATCCCCAGCCCCTTTATTTATTATTGTTGTTGTTATTATTTTACTATAATGCTAGGAGCAAATCCAGGACTTCATACATGGTAGACAAGTGCTGTACCACTGACCTGTGCATATTTCTGGAATATCCGGTTGTACATATTTATAGAATACAGTGTGATAATTCAGTGCGTATACATACTGTATAGTGATCAAGTCCAAGTAGCATGTTCATTTATTTAAACATTAAAAAATTTTAAATTAACATATAATAATTGTACATACTTATGAGTGATGGTGTGATGTGATATGATAAGATAGAGAAACCATTTAGTGTTTAACATTTGGCTTAACAGTGCCTTTTGATGAGCAGAATTTTTTATTTTGTTCTTTCAATATATCATTTTTTTCATGGTTCTTTCTGTATCTGATCCAAGGGTTAGTTACAATAATGCATTGTATTAAGTTTTATAAGAACACTAGCAGAAAAAAAAAGAACACTAGTAAATTGGAAAGTCTAGAAAGAGCAAAAACCATATATTCTGCACATAATACAATAAATCACAAGTGGAAATCAAAGTACACCAAAACCATATCCTTTGAATACTGTATAATTATAGACTCACTACTTGGAAATGTAGTACAGATCAATCTGAGTATAAAATTTAGTTGATTATTAGGTTATAGTACCAGCCTCCACATCTTGGGACATAGAAAGATGAGTAGAATACTAACTATGGGCAGACCTTCCCTCTTAGCAAAATGCACCTCAGTGCGGTGGTCACTAAACCTGCCCATCCACATTTCCCTCTTCCCCATTGTTTACCTTTAGCTTCATAAGACAAGACGTCAGAGAAAATTTTCTCTCAATTCCTGCCTAAATACAGTATGAGGATTCTTCTCTCGAAAGGCCCTTGTCTGAAAGAGCATGACTAGATTTTTTCAAATGGTTTTTAATGTGGCTTGTCTTAAGATTCATCACAGGAATCTGGAAATTGCTAAGCTATTTTCTAGTTGTATCTTCTTTTCAGTGTTTTTTTTTTTTTTTCATATTCTTAGATTGGCTTTGTGTGAAAATGAGATTTGAGTTTTAAGTGAATTTGGTTTTCTTTGTTAAGGATGCACTATAAGACGGGGTTATATAAACAATTAATATCCTTCTTCTTATTCTCAGGACTGGGAATATTTACTAAATTCAGACTACCACCAGAATGTTGAGTCTCACCTTTTGAATAGATCTTTATGTTTGGGTTCTTTGGAAGTTTCAAGGGTGAAAGATGAAGACTTTGCACAGAATCTCAGTCTGGATTCTTCTACTCTTCTCTTTACTCATATACCTGCAATATTTTTTGTTCTTCACCTTGTCTATGAGGAGTTGAAGTTGAATACTCTAATGGGAGAGGGAATTCGTTCGCTTGTTGACCTTCTTGTTCAGTTGGCAAGGTAAATATTGTTTATATATTAGCAACTGCTACATGGCTCTTGTGTGACTTGTTTTCCCTGCTAGCATAAGATTCGAAATCTACCTTCTCAGGCAAGCAGAGAATTTTCTGGAAGCCACAGAACTTATGGCTTTTGAAGATACCAGTTATAGGCGGGCCCCTTGGACATGGGGGTTTTAGTTTGAAAATGAGTGAAAATTTGTAAACAAAAAAAATGGGAGTGACCTGCCCAGCACTGTGTTTTGATAAGAGACTGGCTGCACTGCAGGAAAAGTTTCATAAAACCCACATTCATACAGTACTTCACTGTGAGCACAGTCATCTAAAATGTTAAAGTAGGTATTGTCCTTGTTTTAGTGATGAGGCAGCTGTGTGTGTTTGTTGCTGAGAACATGAGTGGTTAGTCGTGGGCTCTTTTGCTGTGTTTTGCTGCAGTCTGTCCTTGTCCCTGTCTTGTCAGGCCCTCAGAGGGATGCACAGTATGATAGATCGTTCTCACATTATCTTGAGTTATTTTCAACGTGCTGAGCTCCTTATCTTTGGCTCTTAATTCCAAAAGTGTTGTTTAAACCTTTGTGACTCTTGGTGATAATGAAGTGAAATTTGATGTATCAACCTCTGAGTTAAAGATTATAGCACATTTCCTAATTTCTGTGGTCTTTCTTGAGATCCTGAGATATTTTTTCCTGAGATAAGGCAATGTTTTCTTGTTTATTTTTTTTGTTTTTTTTGAGACAGGGTCTTGCCATGTCATGCAAGCTGACCTTGAACTTGCTTATATAGTGCAGGCTGACCTGTAACTCACAGTGACCTACCTGCCTCAGCCTCCTGAGTGCTGGATGACAGGCATGTGTCACTATCCCCAGTGTAAATTTTTTTTTGAGACAAGGTCTTGCTGTGTAGTTCAGGCTGGTTTTGAACGCACTATGTATCTCAGACTGGCCTAGAAGGACATGGCAGTTTTAACTGATGGTCAGTTCACTTAATGACAAATTATTACTCTCACAAAAATTCTTTTGTAACTAATTTCCAAACTCTATTTCATTGCTTTCTGCAATAAGTAACATTTGTATAATGCTGTTCATTTTCTGCGGTCTTATCCACATAGTAATTTATCTTCAGAACTTTATACTGAGGTTTATAGGGATAACTAAACTGAGGTTTATAGGGATAACTTCCTGAAGATCATGCAGCTAATGAATAAGAGAAGAGGAGCAAGAACATAGTGCTCTTTCTGTAGTTTTACCTTGATGAAATTTATCTAGTAAAAAGAATCTGGGTTGCGTTTCTTATTCCTGGTCTATTACATAGGCCAGAAATACAATGAAGAGATTCTAGATTTGATTATCTTCTACCTTATTAGCATGTTTTCTGAACTGAAATGTTTAACTGATGAATCCTTCTAATTGTGGAGGGGTGCGTAATAACCTTTTATTCAATTTGCTCTTAATTTTTTAGGGACTTGCACTTGGAGCCTTATGTAGATCATTACTATAGAGACTATCCAACACTTGTCAGAACTACTGGACAGGTGTGCACAATTGATCAAGGTAAGTGTGCCCTTAAAGGTTTTCTGAATAGTGTAGTGACATTTGTATTTGCTTGTGTCTTTCTCAGTGAATAACAGAGGATATGTTTTCTTACCATTGTCCAGAGGCAATATCTTTTCACCAGTTAGATTTTGGTTAATAATATTTGATCCTTGACTTGTAATCGGTTATAACTTCCTCAGTATGTAGGGAAAACCTTACCATCCCTAAGGTTCTGGCTTGGTAAACTCAGTGAGAGTTTCCAGGGGCGAGAGATGCTTTAACCTAAACCTGTACTGTCCAGTTAGGAGCCTTAGCCGTAGTTACTTGAAAATAAAATAATCAGGTTCTGAAGCCTGATTCCACTCCTACCGTGGCCAACAAAATGGGTAAGTCTTTAAATAATGTCATTGAGCTGAACCAGCGCCAGCGAGGCACCTGTGGTGGGGCATGGCTGCAGCAGGCCAGGCTCCCAGGGTGACTGTGGCGGTGGGTAGGGGCATAGGTGAATCGGAATTGACCAGCCACCCATGGGTGGAGGCCATGGCTGGAGGGCGGCAGGAAAGGCCCGGCAGGAATTGCCCTGTGGGAACCAGTGACAGCGCCCTACACCAGGCTGAAGCAGCCTCACTACAAGTGGGAGTACGACCTTGTCAACAGTGTCTTTGGGGTTGGTGCCAGTGTGGTGATGGTGGACAGCTGTTGGTGTCAAACCTGGACTTGGGAGTGTCGGGCGCAGGTATTCAGGAACGGAACTCCCAATGAGTTTTGAACACTGAAGGAGGCGGCTGTGCACTCTGATCACTCTGGTTGGAGTTTAGGACAGTGCTTTACACTTTAAATGGAAGGCAGATGCACCAAAGGCTGTGAAACAGTATGATGGGGGTCCCATGAACATCCAGCTTTTCTTTTTTTTTTTTGATTTTTCTCTGGTACCGGGAACCGAACTCACGACCTTGCGCTTGCCAGGCAGGCGCTTTTGCCGCTGAGCTAAATCCCCAGCCCCATCATCCAGCTTTTCATGTCACAGATTGAAACACAACGAAGACCTGCACAGAGTGTAAACAGGTGGCTCTGGAGGTTTCTGTGGTGATGTCACACCCGAGAGGGGCCCGCAGAGGTGATGGGAAGAGGCAGAGGCACTGGCAGGAACGCAAAGCAGCAGCTTTCTGCAGAAGGGCTGGACACATAGCTGGATGCCTATAATACAAAGACTGACCCCAGCTCAGCGGCCGATCTGTGTGGAGAGGACCCAGTGTTCGCCCAGCTCTCTGTGGGGAGGCAGGGACTAGGCTGTGGCCAGTGATGGATTTGTTTTTATTTGTTTCTTCTCTGTTTTAAAATAGGATTTAAAAACTCATGTAAAGTATTTTTTTTCTTCTTTTTTTAAAATTCTGAAACAGACCTATTTTGTATGCTGTTATTTTTGGGTTAAATTTTACTGGTTGTTATTGTAGAAAAGGTGGCATTTTCGCCTTTGCCATAATAAAACAGACATGTGTACAGAAAAAAACATTAGCTCCTCTGTCACCTAGCCAACGTGTGCTAAAGGGCTGGGGCCTAATTCAGGGCTGAATTTCCTGTTCAAGAATCTTTGGAATTAGGTAAAAAAAATTTTTGGTTAGATTCTTTATATGTGTTGGGCATAAGAATTTGCTAGATTTCCATCCAGGATGGGATAAAATAGAAGTTATTTAAATTTATATATAATAATCTAGTCAGTTATTTACTGTGGCAGAGTGCAAAGCATTTTAGAGAGCAGAGTATAGAACAGAACAACAGAGTCTGTTGATCACCTTCTCTTTAGACAAGAATAGTATTTTCTTGATGTATTGTGGATACTTTATAAACATTGATTTAATTTTGAAGGTCAAACAGGATTTATGCATCATCCGTCATTTTTTACATCTGAACCGCCAAGTATTTATCAGTGGGTGAGTTCCTGTCTGAAGGGTGAAGGAATGCCGCCTTATCCTTACCTCCCTGGGATCTGTGAAAGAAGCAGACTTGTAGTCTTGGTATGTATTATGAGTACTGCCTGTCTTGTTTAATTCTGTTTCTTTTTAAATTTGATTTCAAGATTATCATATAGTGAAGTCAACATTTTTCTTTCTGTATGTAGTTCTGTGAATTTAGATATATAGATTCCTATAATCACCATCATAGTTAGGATATATTATTTTGAGATTCACTAAAGTTGTCACTAATAGTTTATTGCATTGTGTTGCTGATTGGTTGTCCATTATATGGATGTACCGCAGTTGGTTTATCCATCGGGATAGGTTGGTTCCAGCTGTTACCAATTTTAACAGTTGCTGTAAACATTCATCTCTATGGTGTTTTGTGAGCAGAAGTTTTCATTTCTTTAGGGTAGATACCTAGGAATGGGATTAATAGTCATATAATAAGTGTATACTTAGTGTTTTGAGAAACTGTCAGTTATTTTCCAGAATATCTCTTTATTACACATTTTCGGCAGCAGTATTAAAGAGAGTGTTTCCTCAAATTTTTGTCAGTGTTTGTCTACTCAAATCCTTTGGCTGTTTTTGAATTGTGGTTATTTGTTGTAGGAGGCTGTGTACTCTAGGTATTAAGACTTATCAGACGTATGATTTGCAAATGTTTCCTCCCATTCTGTAGGTTGTCCATTTATGAATGTTTCTGAGATTGGCTTCAGTGCCTGGCTCACCTCCCTGGGCTTTCTTCTTCACTTAGTTTTTAATACTCTTAGTATTTCTCTCTAACCTGCTGGCACACAAATATATTTATAAAAATAATAAAAATATATCAGCACAGATCCTTTTGGTTTCATCATGACTTTTTATTTATTTTTTTGCGGTGCTAGAGATAATACCCAGGGCCTTGCACATGCTAAGCAAGTGCTCTACTATTGAGCTGTACCTCCAGCCCTTGCCATGAGTTTCACTGGGTTTAATTTTTTTGTTGTTTGATGTTTAACTGTTGAGATATTTGCAGCAATCTGACCCAGACGTTTCTAGCTGGTAGTGGCTCTTCACTATTGAGTCTGTATGGACATCACTGGAGATGGTGTTGCCCCTTGCTTACCATCTGTTAAAATGAGGGAGGGGAAAGTAAGGAGGTGATCTTGTATTGGGGGACTGTTGTCTTCAACGAGCTTTACTTACGTTTTCCCAGGTATTAAAGAGACCTGATTTATCTCTTATTACTATGATACTTTTGAATAATGTGATTTACAGATAAAAAAAATTGAGATAGGGGCTGGGGATTTAGCTCAGCAGCACAGCGATTGCCTGGCAAGTGCAAGGTCGTGAGTTCAATTCCCAGTACCGGAAAAAAAATAAAAGATAAATAAATAAATAAAAATTGAGATAAAAAGTATGTTTTTATCTTTATTTGCTTAATATTTTAAACTTTTAGAGACTGTCTTACCTGTATTTTTTCTTTTTCTCCTCAAAGGAGATGCCATTATAGCTCTTTGGGGTTTAGAGTGAAGGTGTGGGAATACTTACTGAATAAAAGGTGTTTCAATGCCAGCCACTTCCAAAGTGGATTTGAGGTCATTAACACTTTACAGATATGTATGTGGTAATGTGACAGTGTGGCCAGTGCAGTGAGAACCTTTTTGTGTGTGTGCAGAGATTCTAGGTCAAAGAATTACTTTCCTCTAGTGGATGACCTTAAGTCTTTGAAATTGTTTGGCAAATTTCTTATTACTCTTTGTAAGTAAACAGTGCCTAAGGACGCACTTCTAGATACCTGTTGGGTATTGCTGGGTACCTGCTAGGATAACTAAAAATAAGAGTGCTTGAGGATATGGAGCAATGGAAACTCTCATGCATTGCTAGTGGGGCTGCAAAGATGGTTTAGCTCCTTGGGAAACTGTTTTAACAGTTTCTTATAAAGTGTAACATATAGTTACTGTAAAACAAAGGAGATTCTACTTTGGGATATTTACCTAAGAGAAATTAAACATATTCCTACACAGAGATCTGGATGCATATGTTTAAACAAGTTTTCTCATAGTTACCATAAAGTGGAAACAATCCAAATGTGCATTGGTTTTTGGAAGATAACCTTTGGCACATCTATATAATAGAATACTGCTTGGCACTAGATAGGAACAAACCACAGATAAATGCATTAACAAGCCTGAATCTCAAGGCATCATGCAGAAGCAGGTCCTTTGATCCCGTGTTTGTAACAACTCTGGAGCGGGAAACGCGAATTGTTTCCAGTGGTGAGTGGAGGAGGAGGTTGATGGCAAAGGGCACAAGGGAGCCTTTGGGCTTGTGCACATGTGTTGCATTGCCAGTGTGGTCCTGGTTCTGTGACTGTCCAAGTTTACAGAGCTGAATATTCCTATGTTGCGATTTTTAAAAACATTTATATCTTTGGTTTTAAAAATAATATGCTCATTTTCTCCTTATACAGAGTATTGCCCTCTACATTCTTGGTGATGAGAGCTCTGTTTCTGATGACACTTCAAAATATTTATCTAAAATAATTATAGGTAAGTTGGTATAATGTTAGGCCTCCCAAAACAAAATTTTTTAATTGTCAGTATCAGAACTTAAGTAAGAAAATCAAAATATTCACAGTTCCCTATATTAGAGGTCACATCTTGCCTTTTTAGTACTGTTCTAGTCTACAGTCTACAACTAGTTTCCAGATAATAGTATTATATAAAAAAGAACAAGTCATCTGTTTTCATTGTAGCTACAAAAAACGGTTGTCAGCTGTTCTGCTTATTTTATTATTGTTTAAGAATTGTTGATTAATGAATTTTTGTTTCTAAATGTCTTCTACATGTTGTATGTTTTCTTTGCCAGGATGTCTATTAAAGTTTCATTTTGTTACATTTTAGCCCCACAAAAGGCACAAGCAGAACAAGAAGAAAACAGGTGACTTCATTTAGGTTATGCTTCTGTGTCTAAAATTTAAAACAATATTTATTCTTATTATTGTTTTGTAATGTTACTGCTTTGTTAATAATGTCATGTTTTATTCTCTTACAGGTTTAGTGTCCAACGTTCTACATCAGTTTCTAGCCTAGCTGAAAGATTAGTTGTCTGGATGACCAGTGTAGGTAAGAGCTTCTTTTTTTTTTTTTTTTTTTGGTACCGGGAATCAAACTCAGGACCTTGTGCTTGCCAGGCAGGTGCTTGTGCCGCTGAGCTATAACCCCGGCCCTGTTGTTGTTTTGTTTGCAGGTTTTTTGTTATTTCTTTTTGTTCTTGCTAGTTCATGTTTGCAGCATGTACTGAGTACAGTTCGTTCCTCCTGGGCGTTAGTTCATGTGCACATCACGTCTTCCTCCTCTGTACTTGAACTTTGCCTCCACCTCTGCTTCCTCCCTCCATCTCCAGGTGACCTTCCCATTTATTTGCAAAAGGTCTGTCTCTCTGTTTTCTGTCATCTGCCTTTTATCTTGCTCTTTAAATTATTTATACTTTGGGTTTCTCATGTAAGAGAAACCATGTGAAATTTACATTTTTGTGTCTGATTTTATTTTTTTTTTAATTTTTAAAAAAATTTATTTCACTAAATATGGTCTTAGAGTGTATCATCTTCTTTCAGATGACTCAAATTTATCCTGTTGTATGGCCAAGTAGTACTCCATTGTGTATACGTACCACGTTTTCTTTATCCATTCATTTGTTGATGGGCATATGGGCTACTTCCAAGGTTTACCTACTATGAGTTGTGCTGCTCTATAAACATGACTGTGCCTGTATCTTTAATTCTTTTAGGAAGGTATATAGAGCGGGAATAACTGAGTCAAATGGAATTTCTATTTTTAGTTTTTTAAAGAAATCTCCATTTTGATTTTTCTGTAGTGGTTGTGCTAGTTTACACTTCCGCCAATAATGTTGAATAATCTGGAAGAGTTTTCTTTTCCCCTGAAGACTTGCCAGCATTTCTTTTTGTTTGTTTGTTTGTTTGTCTGTTTTTTGAGTTCTTGATGATAGCCATTATTTCTGGGGTAAGATGGAATCTCAGTGTTATTTTGATTTGCATGTACACACACACACGCATGTGAAAGTAATACGTATTTTCAATGAATATTTTAAGTTGTTTCTGAATTTTTATCTGAAGAATGTTCTAAATGAAGTTCTTTATAGTTCTTTTTTGTATGTTACTTTGAAAATGACAATAATTATATTGTGGTACCTATCGGACACTTACGCCAAAAAATACTGGATTGTGACCGGGCATGGTGGCACACAGCTGTAATCCCAGCACTCAGGAGACAGATAGGAAGATCACCATGAGTTTGAGGCCATCCTGGGCTACATAGTGAGACCCTGCCTCAAAAAAACAAAAAAGCGAAACCAAAAACGCTGGATGAGTTCAGTCCATCTATATGTATCACTTAATATTTAATGAAAGTGTTATTTTTATATAAGGAAACTTTTTTGCCTCAAAAATTTATCAACTTTGTATAGTACAAATAATGCATAATTTTATAAAATTTTAAAAATTGTTACAGGAAAAATAAATTTGAATTAATCTGAGGATTCAAATGAAATATGTTATTCATATAAAAGAATGTATAAATATGCTTATTCAGTATAGGGAGCAAATATGAAAGAGAATGTTGCTGCTCTGGCCACCGCCTTTGGAAACAGCACATTACTGGGGAAGGCGAAGGCCCCTGTGTGTCTGCTCGCAGGTGGCAGTTATATGTAGCACAGCCCCACCTTCGTCGTGTGTTACCTTTGCCTTGTTTTTTCTTCGTAGATCCGCATGCCTTACTCTGTGTTGCTTAGTAGTGTATATTTTTGAATTTCATGTAAATATGGAGCTATAAATACATATTTTTATTTACTTCAGGCAGCATCATTTTTTAAAGGCTCACCCACATTGACTCATAGCAGTAGCAATAAGTCATTCTATTGAAGTGGAACAATGGAACTTGTCCCCTTCACTCTTGCTTTTTTGTTCTATGACTGGCTTTAATAATTGTCAAGGCTATATGAAATTAGATTTGCCGGTGTTTTTAATTCGCATTTCTCTGATCATGCATTAGGCAGAGCATCTTTTCATATTAATATTGACCACTTACGTTTCCTTTCCTGGAAAATACCTGTTTGTCCTTTGTATTTTCCTATTGAGTTGTCTTTTTCTTCAGATTTTTTAAGAGTTTTTTAGAGATATTATATATGAATCCCTGCTGTCAACCATTAGTGTAGTAAGATGAATAAAATGAATTCACTTACTGATTTACTAACCAGTTACAGGATAATTGGGAACTTGACAAGTTTAAATCAAAGTTACTCTTCACTCCTTTCACCTCAAGGATTCACTTTAAGAGATTTGGAAACCCTTCCCTTTGGAATTGCTCTTCCCATCAGGGATGCAATTTATCATTGCCGCGAGCAGCCTGCTTCCGACTGGCCAGAAGCGATCTGCCTCTTGATTGGACGTCAGGATCTTTCTAAGCAGGCCTGCGAAGGAAATTTTCCCAGAGGGAAGTCTGTGAGTATAGAAATGTGGAGTTCAACTTCAACCTCAAAAAAAATCAGAGTAGTTCTTTATTTTCCTTTACAACTTTTCGCAACTATATGTACCAGTTTGTCTTTTATATTATGTGCCAGATGGGGTTTATAACTGAATACATCTTATCAATTATAAATTGTACGTGGGAGCAGGAGATTTTGTGACTGCTCTGTCATATGTGGACTTTGCTTTGAATCAGCACAGGTGTTGCCTCAGTTTGGTGACTGCTCTGACTGTTGTCCTGTTTGTAACCGTATTACTAAGTAACAACATTATGATTATTACATAGGAAAATAAGAACACATTCTGAATTTAGACGGTTAACATACAACTGTTTTTTCTGCCATACATTTCAATGTGTTAAATTTCTTGAATTTAGTCTTTTCAGTGGGTTTAAATATATGTTTAATCATATGAAGCTGAAGCCCCCCCTTGACAAAAGAATTTTTTTCCACTAGAGTTGCTTAAAAGATGTTTTAGATTGTCTCTCATGAAACACTGTCCTTCATCAATCTTTAAATTTAAGAATGGTTTTTAAGAAGCCTAAAAATAGGGTGAAATGTTTCATTACTCTTACGTATTTATTTCTCTTATATAAAATCAGTATTTCTGAAAACTTAAAAGTGAAATTTGTGGGTAGCTATGGTTGGAAACAAGTAATTGACTATATCAAAATAGCTAGAAGACAGAATACTAAATGTTCACAACACAACGAAATGTCAGATGTGTGAGGTCCAGGACATGCCAATTACCCTGATCAGATCATTACACAAATCTCCATCCTGCTGTACCCTCAAAACATGTATAATTATATATTAATTAAAAATTTAAAAATTGTGTTGGGATTATAGCTCAGTTGTAGAGCATTTGCTTAGCATGCACAAGGCCCTGGGTTTAATTCCCCAGCATTGCTAAATAATAAATAAATAAATAAATAAATAAAATAAATAAATAAATACAACTTTAAAAGAGAAACTTTAAAAACTTTTAGAACTCTTTATAAAACAAGTAGAGTAGCATCTCGTTGAGGAGGGTTTAGGAATGATGATTCCATTCCTGGTTGTTCTTGTACTTTATTCATGTCCTGAGAAAGTAGTAGCAGTTTGGCTCATGTCTTAATTTTCTCTGGGTCATCACACGGTAATCAGTAGACTGTAACTTTTATTAAATCCCATTAGGCCGTGGGCTGTTAATGTATCTTCAGGACCCATAGCAAAGCTTCATCTTGCTTCGCAGTTTCCAACTGGACCTGGGCCGCAGTGTTCCATGGGGACCCACTGACCAGCAGGGTCCTGGCACATCTGTGTTTGAATCTGCATCCTAATGAGTCTTAGTTGAACTAGTGTTTTTTTGAGTTTTAAATTTTTAAAAAATCAATCATTTTTGCTAAAAATGTGTCCTTTTTTCCTTAACTAAGAAAAGCCTTTAGCATTTAGGTTTCTTTTGTTACTATGACGGCAGTTAAACAACGTTAGCATTAGGCCATTAATATGTATTTAAATGTCACTTTAAGTAGTTACATCTAAATTCAGTTGTATTCATGTATTTGCTGCTGTATCTTATAATTAAGCCCATGCAAATTCAATTGTTGGATATTTGGATTTATAGTCTCTGGGTATTCCAAACATTAGAATATACAGTCATGTGTCACCTAGTGATGGGACACCTTCTGAGAGGTGTCATTATGCAGTTTTGATGTTGTGCCACATCATAGCCTTTACAGTGACAGTATCCCTAGGTGATACTGTCTTATGGGACCTGCCATCGACAGAAACATTGTTATGTAGTGCGTGACTGTAGTGTCTTTTCAGATTAGATATTTCATAGGAAACAAAGTGAATTTTTATAAACTAAGAATACCTGCTGTTAATACCTGCTGTTTGTTTTTTTCAGGCCAATGTTATTGCTTCCACATTAAATGTTGCAATACTTTAATATTTCAACTTGGATTTAATCTTTTGTCAAGGGAGTATAAAACTCTTTTGAAGCCAGGTGTGGTGGTGCACACCTGTAATCCCAACACTCAGAAGGCTGAGTTCCAGTCCAGTTTGGGCTACATAGTGAGTTCAAGGCCAGCCTGAATTACATAGCAAGACCCTTCCTCAAGAAACAAACAAAAAAACTCTTTGAAAGAAAATGAGATCTGTGTGCTGTACATCTGTGTTTCAGTCTGAATTGTTTAGACTGAATTATTAAACCACCTGGTAAAATTTTGAGGGCAGGATGACAGAAAAGTAAAACCAACTACCATCTATTATCTTAAGAGTAGTAAGACAATATTACTCAACTTCTTCAGCGCTTGGTGTATATCCTTGGAATGTTTCAGTGAATTCAGTCTCTGACTAGTGTCATAAATTTAAATGTTTTCCCCTCAGTTCAGTAAAGAATGTTTCCAAGTAGGCAGAACAATACTTGTAAAACATATTTAGTCAGGTATGGTGGTGCACACATTCTGGGAGGCTGAAGCTAGAGGATGGCCAGTTTGAGGCCAGCCTGGGCATTTTAGCAAGACCTATTTCTGTCTGTCTGTCTCTGTCTCTGTCTCTCTCTTTTGTTTAATTTTGTTTTTGGACTGGGAATTGAACTCAGGACCTTGTGCTTGCCAGGCAAGTGCTATGCCTTGGACTTGTCCTAAAATAAAAATTTTAGAGTGTCTGTGGTTGGCCCTGGGTTGAAAAAGCAGAAAACCCAAGAAGACTATATATGCCACATGATGTATATGTATCAGAGCTAGGGGTGGTGGCCCCCTCCTATAGTTCCATCTACTTTCAAGGCTGAGGAGGAGGATCACTTGATCCTGAGCGTGCAAGGCCAGTGAGGGCAACATAGTAAGACCCCAGCTCATCAACGATTTGGAGGTTGTGGTGCCTGTGTGTATAGTGTAGGGACCCCAGCATTCCTTTGGAATCCATCCTTTCCGTGCGTGGTGCAGGCATGTCCATCCACCTGTGTGTCCTCGTGTTTAGTAACTGCACATTGGCCACTTTTAAATTCTTACACTGAAGTCTATTACTCAGGTGCTCTCATCAGATGTTCCTTCAGGGACGGAAACTGAAGAGGAAGATGATGGCATGAATGACATGAATCACGAGGTTATGTCCTTAATATGGAGTGAAGATCTGAGGGTGCAGGATGTGCGAAGGCTCCTTCAGAGCGCGCACCCTGTGCGTGTCAACGTGGTGCAGTACCCAGAGCTCAGCGACCACGAGTTCATCGAGGAGAAAGAAAACAGGTAGAACATGCTGTCTGCTCTATCAAGTGTTATGTAAATTTGAGACTTGTATTTGTTTTTCCTTCAAGTTTTTACCTTTTGAACCTCTAAATTTTTTAAGTAACCTTTTCAAAGCTTTTAGAACTTACTTTAAAGTTAAAATCTACATTATAAGTTTTCATCTATCCTTGTAAACATACATGTTTCTAAATATCTTAGGGTTTTGAGTACAGAATTATACTCTCTTCCTTTTGAAAAATAGCGTACTGTTTACAAAAGGTTAATTTTGCTAGTAGTTACCGTAAGAATTTACAACCAGGTATGGTGGTGCATGCGTATAGTCTCAGCACTTTGGAGGCTGAGGCAGGAGGATCCCTGTGAGTTCAAGGCCAGCCTGGGCTACATAATGAGTTCAGGGCTGGCCTGAACTACACAGTGAGACCCTCTCTCAAAAAAAAAATAAATAAAATTTTAAAAATATACATATATAATGAATGCCATCTTATTAAAAAAAGAATTTACCAAAAAAGGAAAACATTGGACTTGTTCCTCTGTCTTAGTCAGGAATAGATCTTTAGGGTTTTTCAAAGTAAAATTTAAACTTAAACCCACATTTTAAAAATGTGTTAGATAATACTGTATAATAAATTGTAAGACTTTGTAGTGACCAATATCAGATGCTTGTAACATTTCAGAGCTACTGATCTGGGTCACCTCAACTGATATTTTTCATTCTGTTACTCTTTTATCTGCCTTGACTCTCTTAACCATCATTCCTCTGCCACTGTTTCTAAGTCTCCTTTTTCTGGTCTTGCTTCCCAGAGAGGAGCCACCCACGCTTAGCCACAGGCTACTGAAGATCTGAGTCAATTGTAATTTTCCCTTCTGAGGGTTAGTCTTGTGTACCTGAGGAATGGAGGGACAGATGTGTATAGCAGAGTAGTTACTGGTATGGACTGTAGAGCCAGGCAGGGCTATGGTCTGGTGAATTTGGTGAATTACGTAACGTGCTGCTGCACAGTTGCATTAGCTGTGAGGACAGCCTTAGTTCCATCCTTTGTACCTCGTAGATTGCTCTGTTCATCAATCGGTTGTCTTTAATGGCACTTATATTGCCTCGTACATAGTGAAGCTCAGTGCAGTCAGCAGCTGTTACCAGGAGCGCAGGGATTCGGGCTGCTCAGGGATTCGGGCTGCTGGTGTGTTTTACTTTTAGTGTGTGTGGAATCGTTGTATCTTTCAGTTAAAGAACGCCAGTGTAATTGGTAACACTTCTTTTCTTTTCAGTGATGTTTAGGTTTGGGCTTCAAAATTACTGTTATTGCTATTACAATTTTGCTACTTTTACCAAGTTGAATTGGAGTATATAGAAGGCTTTTACTAAAAACATTCTACGGGTTGCAGCCTCTTGGCTTTGAATTTCTCAGATTCTGAGTTAATGTGGTAGCTGTGTTCTCAGTGAATCTTAGAATAGCAAAATTTTCCTTCCCAGTGAGCTAGAAGAGCAGTGATATGTGTTTATAGTTAGGGAGAGAGTATGCTCACAAGTAGTTTTGTCTGCAGAGAAAATGTTAGCCCTGTTGTTTGCCTCTGAAGGGAAATTTCTGTGTGTTCACATTGTTTTTTTTTTCCTTTTTGGCAGTATTAAGGATTGAACCCAAAGCTTTTATACTGAGCTACATTTCCAGTCCATTTTAAAATTTAAAATAATTATTTTTATTATATTTTTCAGAACCCAGGACCTGTGCTGAGTTATATCCCCACCCCTTTTAATTTTTTAAATTTTGAGACAGGGTCTCACTAAGTTGTCAGGCTGGGCTTGATTTTGCAGTCCTCCTACCATAGACTTCCAAAGTACTGGGATTACATGTGTGCACCACTACACCTTGCTTAATGTTTAACTTTTAAACGTTTCTCTTAGTTATAAATACCTGCTTCTATAAGTTTCGTTAGCTTTTGTCATGTTTTAAGGCCTACATGGGGGTAATTCAACATCCAAACACGTTAAAGCATAATGTGTTAATTTTACAGGGTAGCCCAGAGAAGCTATTTTAACCTTGGAGCATACCTGACATGTAATAGTATTAGTCTTGTAAATCCTAGCCATAATGTAAGTGAAACTATGTTGGAGTGGCTTGAGCTGGATTTAATATTAACCAATTGGCTTTCTAGGTATTGGAGAAGTCCTCAAAGGGATTCCCAAGTCCTGCCCAGATTCCTGCATTTTCTTCAGTATCCCTCTTCCTTGTTTGTAAACCAAATAAATGTGGGCTACCCAGAGAAGTCTTTGTCTAAACTCCAAGAATATCAAAGCTGTAAGAGAGTTAGACCCTCCTGGAGCCCTGAAATCATTTCCATTGTCTCATTTATTTAAACCTTCACCTTTCACTTGCTTGGGAGATTGTGGGCCTGATCAGCCCACAAGAACTAAGGGTTATTTAACCCGATAAAACTAATTCTTTTTCCCTGGAGACACCATGAAATCCATTCATTTCCTTTCTTTCTCTCTATAAAACCACAAAGGAGGTAGCATTTCCGAGGGAGTATTGGCAGAAGGATCCACATATACAGAGGGTGGCCAGACTGCAAATAACACTTTGAGGGAACCCCAAAGTGCTGCATTTGCCTTTGAGAAAGTCAGCATCAATCAGTATGATGTTAAATCTCTCGTTAGAGCACCTGCTGAGAGTTGGCTTGGTTTATAGGCCAGGTGGGTTTTATTTACAGCAGATATGAAACCAATCAAAGGACGTATGCCCCCCTGAGTCTCTGGCAGAGTGGGGGTATTGAAGTGAGGACAGTCGTGTGTGTGTGTGTGTGTGTGTGCGTGTGTGTGGGTTCCCCTGCATCGCTGTGTGGGCTGACTTTGTGGTGACCTCACCCTGCACATGATGCGTTCTTTGAAACACCTACTGATTACATTCCACTTCTGCTTTGCTCTGAGATTTTTCCTGTGTTGGTTTTAATTATAGATTGCTCCAGTTGTGTCAGCGAACCATGGCCCTTCCAGTGGGGCGAGGCATGTTCACCCTGTTTTCATACCACCCTGTTCCAACAGAACCACTGCCGATTCCTAAACTGAATCTGACTGGTATGTTACATTCTGGCCTCACTGAGATGGGAAAATGTATAAGCAGTGGTCTTTTGAGTTATTTTAGTTCAAACTAATAAAATGCCCCTTCTACCCCCAGGCATAAATTCTATTAATGGCTGTTATAGTGGTTATCCAAATGCAAATAGCAGACCAAACTAAACATTGAGTAAAGTAGAATAAAATTACTTACTAGTTTTACTTTTTAATGAGATTATTTTGAGATTAAAAAAAGTCATTTGGCAAAGTTCAGAAAGTATTGATAATGGTAAGATTATTGATTTTTGATTATTTAATAAAGAGTATAATATATAAAAATATTTAATATTAAAATGTCTCGTCATATTCTAAATATATGGTCATTGTACAAAAACAAAGCAATTCACTGAACAAAAGGAAGAAAAATTGTTGTCTCCGCTGTTGTCCAGAGTTACTTGCTGGTGCTCTAGTTGTCCAGTGTCTCTAGTAACTCGTAACATTTTGGTGTATATATTTCTCAGTTTTAATTTCTGCACACTTATATTTTCATGTTTAATTTTATATTTGTATATTTCATTTGTATATAATTTTATATGGGAAAATTAAATTTTTTTTTTTTTTTTTTGGTTTTTTGGTTTTTCTCCGGTACCGGGAACCGAACTCACGAACTTGCGCTTGCCAGGCAGGCGCTTTTTGCCGCTGAGCTAAATCCCCAGCCCCTATATGGGAAAATTAAAATGTCATAGAAATTATTTTAAAAATTTATTCTAGTGGCATCTTTGTATATCTAACTTGTAAAGAGCACGTATGTATATACAGTTGTGTTTATGTATGTATGTATTATATATACTTTAGTTATTACCTTCATTTTTATTTACTTGAGGATATTTTATTCAGTAAATATACTACAGTTTATAGAAACAACATGATATTTTTGGAAATTACACATTTTTGCTATTATAAATGTATTTTTGGACTGTATGTCGAAGCTAAGCACTTAGGTAAATATGTAGGACAGCAAGATGAACAGTTTTAAAACTGTGATGTAACATGTCATACTGCCTTTCTCAATGATACTTTTTACTTTACCACAGATAACTATGCCTACTTTATAGTACATGTCTACCTCATGCTGATTTGAATGTATTGTATTCTAAGGGTAACAAATGGGTACAGCTGAAATCACTGAAAAATCTTATAGAGTATATGTGGTTTCATGGAAATTAAATGTACATATAATGTATGCGCAAGCACATACATGATAGGAAATATAAGCAAATATAGCTGCATATATGTAAACAAATATATATTTTTTAGTTGCAGAATTTTAAAATTGAACATCTTGATCAGATTTGTAAAGAGCTTGTGCTTTGAGCAGCACGTGGGAAATCAACTACAGAATAAACATTCCCATCTGCCATATCCTGCCCTCGCTGAGCCCTGATCTCAGGGAGAGAGCTAGCAGACTGCTTTCATCAAAGTTGTTTTCTGAGGCTGAGAATGTAGCACAGTGTGGAGCGCTTGCCTAGCACGCATGAGGATGAGGCTCCAGGTTTGATTTACAGGATTGGATTGGGGTGGGGAGTAGAGTGGGAGAAAGGCTATAATAGTAAATTGTTCTTCCAGAGATAAAGCAACTATGGCAAAATGTGAACAATTATTGAATCTTACTGTATTTACATGGTATAATCTTTTCAACTGTTCATATAAAAGTTCATATAAAAGGTTTGAGTTAAAAAGAAAACCTCTTGCAAAATTGGCACATGATGAAATACATTTAATCTGGGTTATTTAACACCCCAGTAATGCTTGCATAGGCATTGAAAAATAAATACATGAATCATTGTTTCTTCTTGGATATACTTAGTTAAATTTGCATGATTTAAAGTGACATATTTGAATGGAAAGCTACGCAGGGTGACTAAGATCTCTCTCTTTCAAGTCTGTGATAATATAGTCACTTCCAGGTACTTGCGTATTGGAGGTCTGTTGCTGTAGCTGACCATGATTGTCATCAACCATGATGTAATTGACTAGTGGATCTACAGTTTCATTACTTGAGAAACATTCCTTCAGTAATTAGTTTGGAGGGAAAAATCATATCTAAAGAAAAAAGCCTAGCTTTAAATACAGTGTAGCAAGAAATAGTCAACTGTTTGAAAATCACACCTTTTAACATATTCTCAGCTATATGAAAACATTTATTTTGCATATTTCTAGTCTGCTGTTAATTTGAAACCTGTTAATATTATTGTGGAATTTGGTTTTTTTAAAAAAAGATGTTTCTAGTTGGATTTTTAAAAAGAAGAATGGAATTTGGTGGGTATTTTATGATAGAACCTAAGAGCTTTTTCTGGTTCTGAGTGTCCTATGTAAAACTTAGTGTCAGAGTAATTAGGGTTTTCCCTTTATTCTACTTTATATTAAAATACCATTAGGAAATGCAAAACTGGTGAATATATAATGAATTGTAAAATATTTTAATGTGTAACTTTCAACTGTGAAACTATGACTATTGGTATTTTGATGAAAACAGCTGCTGATAAAGTAAAAAAAGTGACATTAAGCTAGTATTTTATTCTTCTAGCCATCTGGTAGGCAAAAAAAAGTTATAATAATTTGGGAAAGTACTTACAGTGGTGCCTTTGTCCACACTGCTGTGACCTTTCCTACTTTCTCTGTTATTGGTCTTATTGAAGAAAATTTGCTTTGCCCTTAGCTTTTCATTTTATGTCTCATGCATGTGACAAAGGAGTGTTTTAGGAAGGTTGCTTGTTTTTTCACTGCTAATGTCACTGTCTTTTCTGAGAATGCATAACTCATGAACCTGTTACCCATTGTGGTACTAACACTGCAGTTGTGTTTGGTTTCAGTTAGAAAAACAGATGGTAAAAAAATTTCACATTGTTTGTGCTTTGTGCTCTGTGTAGATATGTATGAGTACATGCTCTGCAAATAAGACACTGTGCATCTATTTAAAATTTATTTTGTTTAACAGAATTGTTATCAAGCCATATTTTCAAGCTCTAATGAACTCGTTAACTTTATGCAGTAATTGGAATATTTATTTTAAACCCATCTATGAATTGCACTAATACAGAACATGCAAAATATGAAATAAATTCAGAATTTGCCTGTATACAGTATATATCCAATCCAGAGAAATCAAGAAATTCAAACTGAACATGTAGCATCACAAACATTTGATTTACATGGCTTTTATTTTTTTATTCCTTCTTATTATTTTTTTTTTGGTACTAGGAATCAAACTCAGGACCTTGTGCTTGCCAGGCAGGGGCTTGTCTGAGCTATCTCTGTGGCCTTTACATTGCTTTTAAGTGTATTGACCATAATATTAAATTTAATGAAATACTTCTTTGTAGTTTATTGTATAACTCAAGTCTATATCAGATCCTTCTGGATAGCTATCTCACAGTACAGTTTGGCACATTTAATCTATATCAGATCTTCTAGATAGCTATATCTCAGTACAATTTGGCACATTTAACAATAGCATGTAATTACATATCTGTCTCCCTCTACAGAGGATAGACATGTATAAATGAGACAGGATAGAGCAGATTTATAAAGGTCTTTGTCTTTCATGAAAATATTTTTTCCTCTAATGTCTGGAGAAAAACATGGGCTGGAACATTTGAGATTAACATCAATATCACCAGTCACCTGTAGGCATTTATTATTCATGTAGTTGAACTGTGATGTTAATTCTCATTTAGTCTCTGATTAAGCTCCCTGCTGTTAAAGAAAGTTTTCGAAGCAGTGAGTATCCTAAGCAGATCTGTGTAAAGTTAAATTGATAGCAGTTATTCACTAGCATCTCAGGAACTTTAGCAGAGTGGACAATAAATTGTTTTAAACAAAGTTTTCTCAGCTTTAATTAAATTTGATGACACGTGTAAAGTCTAATGCCCACAGAGACTTCCTGTCATCCCAAGTGTTACGGATTAAGGGATTTTCAGTGTGGTAATCTTAATTCTCAGAGTTCTAAATTCAATCGTTTTTGTTTTGTGAATTTTTATTCCTTCAATGTCAACTTTCGTGTGGCTGGATAGGACGAGCCCCTCCTCGGAACACAACGGTAGACCTGAACAGCGGGAACATCGATGTGCCCCCCAACATGACAAGCTGGGCCAGCTTCCACAATGGGGTGGCCGCAGGGCTGAAGATCGCCCCTGCCTCCCAGATCGACTCAGCTTGGATAGTTTACAATAAGCCCAAGCATGCTGAGTTAGCCAATGAGTACGCTGGCTTCCTCATGGCGCTGGGTCTGAATGGACACCTTACTAAGCTGGCTACTCTCAACATCCATGACTACCTGACCAAGGTGAGAGCTCATTCCCAGTGCCTGGCGTTGGGCCTCAGTTGCCAGTTGCATTAGCTCCTCATTACCATTTACCTTTCCTTACTCATTCTTGTACCTCTAAATCCATTTCTCTCACAGCAGGCCAAGTAATCTTTCTGAAGTGAAAATCAGCCTAGTTTACTTGCTTGGTCAGAACCATTAAATGACTTCATTGTTCTTCATGTATTTCTGGGAGCCTGTGTGATCCTGCTCAGCTCTCTAGCCGTGCTCTGTACCATTCTTCCCTTGCTCCTCATCTCAGTGCTCCCTCCCTGCCACTTTTCCAACCTTCGGGTCCTATTACAAGTTTCTCTATGTGATCTTTTAAGGTTCTTTTCTTAGTAGTCCTCCAACCCCTGCTAACCTAAATGAAGCTACTTAAAATACTCTTTCATAATAGTTCGTAATTTTTATTATACTACTTTTTAATAAGAGATTTATTTGTGTGTTTTCAGTTTAGTCTTTTTTTTCTCCTGTTAGAGCACTAGCTCCATAAGAGCAAGGACAATGTCTGTTTCATTTTTCTATCACTGTGCTTATGACATAAAAGTACATAATGAAAATGGCAGTATTTTACTTAGAACTACGTATGTGTTTTGGTAGTGACTCTTCAGTTTCATTTTCTTCTTCATCTTAGGGCCATGAAATGACAAGCATTGGACTGCTCCTTGGCGTCTCAGCTGCAAAACTAGGCACCATGGATATGTCAATCACTCGGCTCCTTAGCATTCACATTCCTGCGCTCTTACCCCCAACGTCCACAGAACTTGACGTTCCTCACAATGTGCAGGTGGCTGCGGTGGTTGGCATTGGCCTTGTGTATCAAGGGACAGCCCACAGACACACTGCAGAGGTCCTGTTGGCTGAAATAGGTATGTTAAGAATGATGAATCTCTATAGGTGTATCTCGCTCCACATGAGAAAGTAAAACAATAACATTGCAAAAATGGATTAAAAACAGTAGTAGCTTTTATGAGCACAGAATGATCTGGTAACTATAAAAAATTACAAGCATTATTTTTCAAGGCTAATGTTACTTGTTGCTTAGGTTATTAGCCTGCATATTTAGTGGACCAGCCCATTATGAGATGAGCTCCAGTGGTCACATTTAATGAGATGCCTGTGGTCGTAATCACATATGATCACGGCTTTTATTCCACTACCTCTTTACCAGGCAGTGTGTAGCAGTGGCCTGCACTTAAAGTTGATCGTTGTGGTCTGTGGTCTTTAACACCTCAGTGTTTATTCTGTTGGACAAAACACTTGAAACAATGGAAGTGATCAATTTCTGTAACTTATGCATGTCTTCGTAAACAGTTTAAATCATCTCTAGAGTACTAACAAAACTTAATACAGTGTAAATGATATGTAAATAATTGCTACACCGTATTGTTCAGGGAATAAGGAGAAGAAAAATGTTCCGAAAATGCACCTTTTTCAGTTTATAAGCAAGTAGGTAAGATGCAGGCCTTTAATCAAGTGCTTTGGTAATTTCCAGAATGTTTTTTACTCATTGGCCAGCACATATTAAGGCCAATCAGGTAAGAACATCTGGATGCAAGTTTTGAAAAAATATTTTCATTCATAGTTGGTTGAGTCCCTGAGTACAGAACCTGCGGATATGAAGGGCTGACCATACGTACACATGTACCAGTGATAAAGTTTAATTTATAAGTTAACCATGGTAACAGATTAACAGTAAGAACTAATAATGAAATAGAACAATTAGAATTACTTAAGTTATGAATTGTTTATTTCTAGAATTTTGCTTTTAATTTTCTTTTTTGGACAATGGTTGACCATACATAAGTAGACTTTTGGAAAGCAAAAAACTTTATTTTTTTATTTTTTTTGTCTTTTTTCAGACAGAGTCTCGCTATGCAGCTCAGGCTGTCCTTGAGATCACTTTGTAGCTCAGGCTAGTCTCGAACTTGCAGTGATCCTCCTGCCTTAGCCTCCCAAGTGCTGGGATTATAGGCATGCACCACCACGCCCAGCGTAAAATTTTAAATAAGAGAGGGTGATTGTGTTTCACAATATATTGTTGAAGATTCAGTGGTCTTTAATATGATTATATTAGCTAGCTGTTAATTTTAGGGTAATTTTGGGGCTTTCTTTCAGTAAACTGGCAGTTAGACACTATTTATAATGATGTAACTTTCTGAGTGTAGTCATATTGAATCCATGTGTATTATGTAACCAGAAGGTTAATGCTGTAAAAGTATTGAGCTGGGATGATAAGAGGTCAGCTTGAACCATGTTGCTGTCGTCATTGCAGGGCGGCCCCCGGGTCCTGAAATGGAATACTGCACTGACAGAGAGTCGTACTCTTTAGCTGCTGGCCTGGCCCTGGGCATGGTTTGCTTGGGGGTAAGTGGGGTCTGTAGCCTCTCGTGCTTTGCTTTGGACATGTGCACATTGAGACAAGTAATCTTGACATTCAACTTGGAGTGCCAGTCTGCCTTATGGTGACATCACCTGTGTGTCGTCTTTCTGGATGTTTTTCAAAGTACCAGATTTGTGAATAGAGATAAGTTATAGTGGAACTTAAGACATTTTTTCATGATTTAGATATGTGTTTATGAATGAATGAAGGGAAAGGTTTCTTGAAAAAAATCTAAAAACATAAGGTGAAATGAGCAGCTCACTCCAACAAAAAAAGGAAATATATGTAATGAGGAGCCTGGAGAATACAGTAGCTATTAGAAATAATCGCTGACCTTTATGTCACTCTGGTGTTCAACATATATCCCAGAATGTTGCCATAGTAGCAGTTGCTGTGTGACAGAATATACTATCAGGTTGATTCATTTTTAACCCCATCTAAGAGAGGTGTACAAAGTTACCAAAACGTTTTATTAAATAATTGCTTCATTTGGAATGTAATTCCCTTAAAAAGCCACCAGTACAGTTTTACGGCCAAGCTAAATGATGTAAAGAAACCTATAATGGAATGAGTTTTTCTTACGTGCATTCTGAAAATCCACCCTGTGTTTACTGTCTGTTGGGGGATTTGACTTCACATTGGTACATAAACTGAAGAGGCGGTGGTGCAGTGGAAAACTACTGGGATGAGACCTGAATTCTGGCCCTGAGTCATGAGTCAGGTCATTTAACCACCTTTGTTGCTTAATCAACCCCACAGACTATTGCACAAAGCTGTCTTGTTTCACATCCAACCCTACCATTCAATAGCTGAGTTACCCTGGACTTACTCTGCACCTCACTTTCCTCACCTGCAAAAGGAGATTCCTGTAGCTCTTCGATAGGGTTGTTGAAGTAAGCAAGTTAATTCATAGTAAACACACAAAATAGTGCCTGGTACCAAGCAAGCATTCAATAAATTGTTGTTGTTGTTGTTATTATTCTTAGAGTTATTATTGCTGGAAAAGTTCACAAGCACAGTGATGGAAATATTCAGGCATTCACATTTAAAGTTTCAGTTATATAACTAATATTTTCCTTTACTATAGGTGTAATGCATTATTTTGAACCCTTCATGTATTTTATGAAATTACCTAAATTCAAACATACAGTTTGAACATTATCTCATGAGTAATGTTTAATTAGAAATAGTAAAATACGAAAGTACCCTGCTTTGAAGTTAACTTATTCCCATATTTGTCATGAGTGTGTGTTATGGATTGTCTTTTATAAGGTTTTGTTTTCCTGCCTGTTATTTTATTTTCCAGCATGGCAGTAACTTGATAGGTATGTCTGACCTCAACGTGCCCGAGCAGTTGTATCAGTACATGGTTGGAGGTCACAGACGCTTCCAAGCAGGAACGCACAGGGAGAGACATAAATCTCCAAGTTACCAAATCAAAGTAAGTCCACATCGCAGTAACAGATCAAGGTGCCAGAAGCTAGGGAATTAATTTGAAAATAGTGTTTTCTATACCAACACAATTATAATACCCTAATTTTAAGCAAGGCTAATACTCAGATAAGTATTATAATAATACAGAACTCTTTTACATGAATTACTTTTCTTTCACTAGGAAGGTGATACCATAAATGTGGATGTGACTTGTCCAGGTGCTACTCTAGCTTTGGCGATGATCTACTTAAAAACCAATAACAGGTATTTGTACCCTTGCTGTCCTCATTGTGACAGTATGACATCCTTTCTCATCTGCTCCTTTCCCCTGTGAGAAAGCAACATGATTTTCATTCTCTCCAGTACTGTAAGTTCACAGATTTCATTGATAAAGAATACATTTTGCTGTTTTACCCTATTTGACAATATGCAGTTGTCCCTCAAAATCTGCAGGGCATTGTTTCCTGAGCCCCACAGATAGCAAAATCCACGGCCGCTCAGGTCCTCTATAGAAAGTGGTGTATAAACTGTGCACATCTTGTATACTTTTTTTCTTGGTACTAGGGATTGACCTCCCGGTCTTGACCCTAAACTGCATACCTAGCTTCTTTTTTTTTCATTTTGAGACAGGGCCTTGCCAAATCACTCTTGTTACCCAGGGGAGGCTTGAACTTGGGATTTTCTTGCCTTAGCCTCCTAGAATGCTGGGGTTACAGACTTATGCCACCATGCCCAACCCTCTTGTGTACATTTAAATCATCTTTTAGTTACTAATAGTATTTCATACTATAAAAATGCTAAGTAAATGGTTATTGTATTGTATAGTGAATAATGACAAAAAGAGACTGCATTTATTCAATAGGCATATTATCTCCCCAAATATTTTTAATTGGATGTGGAACCCACAGATATAGAGGTCCAACTGTAATTGCCAGTTTTTACTTCTGTTTTGTGGTTGATGTTACTGACATCCTAACAGTGCCCAAGTTGCTTTTCATTAATTTGTTTATCGTTATGAGGAATGGTTAATACTTAATACTACTCTTTTCTTAGCTAGCATTTATATAAATGGTTTCTACTTAGTTCAAAAGCTTTTCTCATGACCAAAACTTCTACCTTCTCAGTGCTCTGGAATGCTATAACTTGAAACTTTGGCATTTATTCTTATACTTTGCACAGACAAGTAAGTTGGATAGGGGACATTATATCATGTTAGTCTCTTGAACTAAAAAGATTTTAAGATTCATGAAATTTGTTAGTGCTGTCAATTTCTGCCTTTAGAAAATGTGAATTTGTCCTGAATTAACGAAGTACATTTAGTTCATGTGCTGTTTAGATGAATGTGTATGTCAGAGCCCTTTGGGCGCTGGGGATAACTCAGTGGACAAAAGAAACTAAGAATATCTGCCCCCATGGCACGTACATTCTACTAAGATACAGCATATATGTAATGACTGTTGTGTTAGAGAGTATAGAGTAGCGTGGAAATAATTGGTGGAGAAGCGGTTTGAACAAGGTCTGAGGGTTCTTTATTACCTTCGCTCTGCCTGAGCAGCCGCCCTCACCGGTATCCTCCACCAACAGATCCATTGCAGACTGGCTTCGAGCTCCTGACACCATGTATTTGCTGGACTTTGTGAAACCAGAATTTCTCTTGCTTAGGGTATGTTGCTTTGTCATTTTTTATTTCTATTAACATGAGAGGACTCTGTGGTTTCCAAATACAGCTTGCAATATAAATGCCTTTATGAGAGAGCCTTTTATTTTACTTTCAATTCATCATGTATATCTAGTTGGCGATGTTCTTTTGAAATTTCCCATATATGTATAGGGGTTCTGAGAAAGGTAACCACGTAGATGTAGAATACTTAAGTGACATTTCAGCTTTTCACATTATTAAAAACTTCCTAAAAAGCAGCAAGTGACTAGGATTTTATTAATTGGTTTATGTTACATTTTTGTATTATTATTAAGGATGTAATAATACTGTTAAGGTTATAATGAAAATAACAATTCGACAATTGCCTAAAATTTTTGTTCCATACTTTTTTTAATGTTTAAACTTCCAGTGTGGAACCCTTTAAATGATGATGTGTAAACAGAGCTATGATTCCCTTCCTTGTGACTTTTTTTGTGACTTCTTTTACAGAGGAAGCTAGAAGACTTCTCCAGGCCCTCTAAACTTTGAGGGTTATCAACTCAATTTCAGTTTTTCTTTTTTGAGTTCTAAATCTCTGTTTTAATGAATAGCTTAGGTATTATGTTTATTTTTCAAAATTGTCATTAATTGGAAACTGATTCCTTCATAGTTCTGTTTAATATTATTGTTACAAAAATCTGTGAACTTTGGCTGCTCTAATTAATTTTATCTGTAATGCTGTTTTAAAGACACTTGCTAGATGCCTGATTTTGTGGGATGATATTCTACCAAATTCCAAGTGGGTTGACAGCAATGTTCCTCAAGTAAGTACAATAGTAAATATTTTTAATAGTGTAAAATCATGATTTCTTGTGGGGTTTTCCAAAATCCTATAGAATATTTTTGATTTGAAATTTTATACTGACCACAAAGTTCCTTTCCGTTGGCCCTTGTTGTAGCTTTTAAAAGTTAAATATACCAAAGTACTCTTTAAAACAATGGTGGCACACACCTATAATCCTACCACTCCAGAAACTGAGGCCAGGAGGATCGCCATGGTTTTGAGGCCAGCCAGGCTACATAGTGAGTTTATATAGCCTGGGATGTATAGAGAGACCTTGTCACAAAAAAAAGGTAGAAAGGTGTTTTTGATATTTTTATTCTAAATAAGTACACATTGATCTAAGATGCTATTTGTGATTGTTATTAATAATCTATATGATAACTGGTTTTAATTTATTTATAACATATATTAAATAAGTGTGTTAGTTAAAAATAAGCGGACTCCTTTGTAAAAATTGAGAGTCAAACATTGTAATTAACTATTGACTTTAATCAACTGTCCCTTTATAGGGACAGTTTCTCAGCCCTTTTTGTATTTGAAAATAAATCTAATCCTTAAGAACACGAGGTTGTTTCCTTCATTTTTCATAAGGAAAATCCTCAACATAAAGGTTGAAAGACCTTTATGTCTTTATGTGAACACTGATATTACCAATAAATTCTATAATCAGTATTTTACTGTATAAACTTATTTAAAAGCATATCTATCTACTTACCTATTTGTTTATCTGTCCCATTACTTTTGAATGCATTTTAAATTTGCAAGTAGTAATGAATTTGTTCCTAATATTTTGGGTTAGCTATCATTGTTTATTTACATTTACATTTTTCCTTTTAAGATACAATTTTTATACCATGAAATGTACAAATCCTCAGTGTACTGTTTGGTAAGACGTCACTAATGCATACGCCCAGTGAAACAAACCTGTGTTCTTTGAGCCCTGTCCCTCAGTCTGTACAATCACCCCTTACCCTCTACCCTTAAGGTAACCAGCATTGTTTTTTTTTTTTTCTCCAAAATGGATTTATTTTACTGATGTAGAAGTTCATATTAATGGAATCACACATATTATATATCTTTTTGTGTGATTTCTTTTAACATGATTTTGAGATATTATTGAGTATATTATTCATTCATCCTTTCATTATTAGGCAGTACTCATTTTATGAATATACCACGGTTTCTTTTTCTGGGCAGGTTCCAGATTTTGACTGTTAAGAATCAGGCTTCACTGAAAATTCTGTGCAACTAGTACACAATAGTGGATTAAGTTGTTTAATTCTTGTAGAAACCTAAATGAAGGGCAGGGCAGCCAGGAAGCACAGTTGTGGCCTCAGTGCTGGTAGGTGACTGCTGGGATTCAAGCTCCAGGTTACAGACTGTTTTGAAGACTCAAAGCATGGAAAAGCCTACTGTCAAAGCAGAACTGTTGCATTCCCAGGTGATACCATAGGCCAACACTTTAGTGTACAAGAATGTTAACAATAGGTTATTCGTGTGTGTATAAATCACTTATTTTGGAGTTGTATCAGTACTTTAGAGTGTCACTCATTTTTTGAGTAAATAACAGAATTAAGAGGAAGTTGAAAAAAAATCAGTTTCCGTTACAAAGCAGAAATAATTACTTGTCTCATTTTTCAAACAAAAAAGCGGTTTGAAGTTTCCCATTTGATGTTACTCAATACGTAAAGACTGTCACTAGTGACTTGTGAATATTTATTGCTTTCTCTCCTGCACAGTCTCCTGAAAATAAGTCTGCAGTTTCTGTCATGTACTTGTGTTTCATATAAAAGTACCTTACCTTTTCTTCTTTGTTGTATTTGTATTTTTTAAAAGGATCAAATCTGGTTTTGGTCATCAAAGCTAGATATTCTGTTTAGTTTCTCAAAGTTGTTCACTACCTGTACTAAAAGGGATGTCTTTCTAAACACTAGTTACTTATTAACATATTAACAGCTTAGCTCAGCTCAGGTAATTAGCTGAGGGACTGACTGGTAGTGCGGGACATTCAATGCTGCAAACATCAAATGAGGAAATACGTGTCTCCGATGAGAGTTCTCTCCAACTGCTTTTTTTCCTTCTCTTCTCTTTCCTTTCCTCATGTGCTTCTCTTTCCTTTCCTCATGTCCTTCCCCATATCTTCAGAATTTTGAATACTGCATTCATCATTATAGTTCAGTTGACCAGTGTGAAATGTTGACCAGTGTGAAATAGTGTATTGATTCACAGTATACTTGTTCAGTCTTATTTAGTTCTTTACCTTGTTTTAGATTTGAAATTTGATCATTCTGGTTGAAATGTAGGCCTTTGAAAGAAATGATTTAATAAAGCTTATTTTATTTATATATATATATATATATATGACAAATAGAAAGCTGTTCTTCAAAGTATGGTATGTTTATGACTAAAACAATGATGTTCAAGTATTCTTACTTTCTGTCTTGACAGATTATAAGAGAAAATAGTATCTCTCTGAGTGAAATTGAATTGCCTTGCTCAGAGGACCTGAATTTGGAAACTTTGTCGTAAGTTGTATAATATTTATAATACAAAGTAACTATTCTAGCACCTATTCAATAAATACACAGAAATATACATTAGAGGAGTACTGTTAATGATTTGAGTAATTCTGAATCCTCCATGTTTATAACCCCTGTTTATTAGATTATTCACAAGATTGGCTTATTGTTACCACAGTTGTTGTTGTGGTTATTACTATTATTATGGTAGTGCTGAACCTAGAGCCTTGTCCTAGGTATAGTGCTTTACCACAAAATTAATCCCCAGCCCTTTTTATTATTTTTTTTAAAGCTATCTGAATGTGGACCTCTTTTTTCCCCCAATTTTTAAAGAATTATTTTTACTGGTATACTTTTGATGTACATAATGATCACATTCATCAGAGAGAATTTGTACCTGTATGTAATGTATCTTGGTTCTTCTTTCTTTTCCCTTTCAATCCTTCTTCCCCTCCTTATTTACAAAAGCTTTGTTACCATTTTTTCCCTTCTGTTCTCCTTTCTTTTTCCTTTTCTCTTTCTTCCCCTGCCCCTTGTTCCCCTTCCCATCTGAACATTCCTTCCTGCTTCCCAATATCTATCATCCATTGTGGTTCTTATTTACATTTTTGGTTTGTCAAGAATTGAAAGAGAAACAATTCAATATTTAAGCATATGTGTCCAATTTATTTCACTTACCTAAGTGAGTGTAAAGTCTTGCCCTCAGAAAACAGTATTGGAGTACATGCTCCTATTTTATCTTTCCTATTAAAAAAATTAACAGCAATTTTAAAAATTACGTTTGTGGAGCATATGAAACAATATAGTTAAGACTTAGGTAAGGGTCACATGGTACTATTATTAAAAATAAAAATACAGAAATCCGCTGGTTGGTTCAAGTCACACTGGAACATTGCCAGAAGGACATAAAGAAGTTTAGAGAACAGGAATGTTTATTAGCCTCACCCCAACATATTAGGTAATAATGAATTTTAAAGGAAAATAATAATGATGTTAAATTTCCTAATCTGTTTATAGGCAAGCACATGTCTACATAATTGCAGGAGCGTGTTTGTCTCTGGGTTTTCGATTTGCTGGCTCAGAAAACTTATCGGCATTTAACTGTTTGGTAAGAAGTATCTTAGTTTACTTTGGTCTATTTTTACCAAAGCCTTCAGATGCTTCTTTTAACTTTCTTTTCTTTTGTTTTTCCAGCATAAATTTGCAAAAGATTTTATGACTTATTTGTCTGCACCTAATGCTTCCATAGTAAGTCTTTTTATGATTCTCAAGAATAAAATAAAACTTGAAAATTCACAGGTAACTCAGTTACTTATGTGTCGTCAAACACCTCTGCTGTTTGACTTTAAAATGGGAGATTTGAAACCAAAAAAAAAAAGGTAGGGGCTGGGGATTTAGCTCAGTGGCAGAGTGCCTGCCTGGCAAGGGCAAGGTCGTGAGTTCAATTCCCGGTACCGGCAAAAAAAAAAAAAAAAAAAAGGCCGGGGATGTGGGGGAGATTTGAAGCATTAGCACACTTTCTGTTTTGTTCTGGGATGTTAATTAAATGAGAATGTGATGACTCTTGAGGGATGCATGGGTATCCGACCGTGACAAGGAAGTGAATAAGAAGGGCCATAGCGTTCAAGGATTGTCATACTTCGTGTTGTTCTGTCTCAGAACCGAGTGGCAGGAGTTACCTTTAAAAGAAAAAGGAAAACTAACGCTTAGTAACGATTCAGTTGCTCTTGACCCATTGCGGCTCCAGTGACAGGAAGCTGCAAGAGCTTATTTCCTGGTGAAAACCACACAGATTATATGATAGTATTTACAATATGGGAAATTAGAAACAGCAAAAATTCTCAAAGTCAAGTAAGTTTGATTATGGAATATCCACGCATTCTTATACATTTGGGCCCTTTGAATTTTTTGTCCATGAGGATTGTAATAGTTATTAAAAAGGCTAAAAATACCATGTATAGCTAAAAATACCATGTATAGCATTACTTAAATTTCATTTGAAAATGGATGTATAGGAAAAAATTCAGAGAAAAAGAAATCTAAAATGTTAATGCCAGGTCTCATTGGAGATGCCAAGGGATTGTTACTTCCTTCTTGATATTTAATTTTTGAGTTTTCTACATTGACCTGTATATCATAAACAGGGAAAATGGTTGTTTTGGCAGATATTTTTAACCACCAGTCATAGTCTTGTAAGCGTGGCCGATTTAGCCTTGGTATATGGAAATGCAGCAGCAGTTACAGCAACGTCCTCTTTTCTGTTACCAGACGGGTCCTTACAACCTGGAAACCTGCCTGAGTGTGGTGCTGCTGTCTCTTGCCATGGTGATGGCTGGCTCGGGGAACCTGAAGGTTTTGCAGCTTTGTCGCTTCTTGCACATGAAAACAGGTGGTGAGATGAACTACGGTTTTCACTTAGCTCACCACATGGCGCTTGGACTTCTGTTTTTGGGAGGAGGAAGGTAAATGGATATGTATTTCTTTTCCCCTCAAGAAAATTATTTTGAATGAGATCTCTAAAAGTAACCTAGATTTGCTTCTTCAAAAGGGTGATTTTCTGTTCTTAGTTCTTTTCATTTGCATATAAATTTTGGAATTCCCTCACTAATTAGCTCTAGTGCATGTGACTTTGGTCCGCTGCTACAGCTTCAGGAAGTCATAGAGGCTTATTTTTCCCCTCTACATTGAAGCTCACATTTTTAGAAATACAAAACATAAGGATTATCAGGAAGGTATGCATTTTAAGCATGTTTTGTTTAATTATCTCTTTAAAATTGTTTAGAATTAAGAACAGTGAAAGAAACATTACTATTAAAACTCTGTTCTGTCTTTCTGGAAATTTTTTGTCTTTTCAGTAAAACACCTGTAGTTACTAATACTCTTAGTCAGGGCTTTCATCTTTCCCTCCGGTGTGGCTCTACTTGCTCTTCTTTCCTATTGAATAGACTTTCTCCCACTCAGCTATGCTTTTTTCAGTGATCATCAGGTTTTAAAGGGTTCTGGGTCCTCTCTTGACAACATCTAAAATTATAGTGCTTCCTGTACCATTATGTTTCATCCCCGAGTTTGTAACATTGATGCCTTAACATTCATCTTTGAATTTTGGTATATCAAAGAGGTAGAGAGAAAATTGGTTTGTGCTATGCACATGCCAAAATAGATGCATTTCTTTGCTGGATCTTGAAATTTCTTCTCCACTCATTAACTGTATGAGTGTGTGTGCTGAATGATAAGTTCTTATTTATACTGTAGACCTTTAGACTGAATTGCCTGTTTACGAAATTTACTAAGGAAATAAACTAAAGAAAATTTCAAAAGATCCTTTACTAAGTGAATGTGACCTTTGTAGAAAAATGTATCCTCTCTTTTTCTTTTTCTTTTTGTTTTATCGAGGCAAGGTCTCGCTGTATAGTTCAGACTGGCCTTGAACTCCCTGTGTAACATAGGCTCGCCTGGAACTTGCAGTGATTCTCCTGCCTCAGCCTCCCATGTGCTGCGATTTTTGGTGTGCACTACCATGCTTGGTCTAAAAGTATCCTGTTGATGAGAAAAAATGATTTATGTTTAGAGGATTAATTGTTGCGTATTTATTGCAACTTTTTAATGGTAACTTTTGCCTTTTCCATTTAGTCCACATTCTAAAAGAATGATCGTGCTTTACACGTGCATGACTTTCAGTGTGTATAACATCTAAGATTGCTGCATGGTCCTCACTGTTACCCTATTATAGGTTAAAAACCTGCTAATTTATTCAGGGATTGAACTATTTATGAGAAGTTCCTTCTACTTAAATAGTAGATGACCTTGAAATGACATAGGGACTTAACTAAAATGTTCACGCTGCTGACACATCTGTATTATCAAGGTGTTTACCCCCACTTCCTCATTCTAAAGAATGCCTCGAAAGTGCGCAAGGAGTCGTGACACCCCTGCCTCCCACCTTTCTCCGCAGATACTCTCTGAGCACGTCGAACTCTTCCATTGCCGCTCTTCTCTGTGCCCTCTACCCACACTTCCCGGCCCACAGCACTGACAACCGGTGAGTCTGATGCTTCCCAGGTTCTCTACGGGGAAAATTGGGTAGTGGTTTGGTTTCAGGAACCTGTTTCCAAGGTAGCATTTTTCTCTTCTTGAACTTAGTCATCTTCCCGGCAAATCATTTAAGTTTCTCTTACAAAGTATTAGGCTGGAAGAGAACTTTGCATTCTGATACCAGCAGTGCGCACCACTCTGAAACCTGTAGAACTGCTCAAGATTGAGAAGTAGGCCAAGCGAGGTTATCTCTAGGCTGAGGTGCATCAAAGAAAAGTGGTCATCAGGGAAAATTCGAGAAGATACCTTTCCTGCTATAATAATTTAATTCCAAGAGAAAAATCCATCTGATTTAGTAGCAGTTTCTCTGAGTTGTCTCTTTTACAAAACATACTGAGATGCTTTGTGTATGTGACAGAGAAAAGACAAGAAAGGAAAATGCAGCAAAAAATCCAAAGTAATCTGGAAGTAGCAGTGAGTGATGAGATCTCACTCAGTCCTTTGGAAGCAGTCAGATAGAACCCAAGTTCTGCATTTTAGAGCGCAGAGAAAGACTAGCGCTGCCCCCTGCCTTGAAATTTTCATTACGCAGATCTCTTTAGATTGTGGGGGAGGTAGGAAGATGGCTCATTCTAAGTGACAGCTCACTGACAGTGTGCTTAGTTGAGGCACCTGGTTTTCTGCCTGGGAGGGTGAGCAGCACTCGCATAGGAGAGAAGAGCCTGAGTGCTGACTGCAGCAAGTAAGGCATCATTTAAACTGCAGTGTCCTGTGCACCGCCATGGAGGGAGGATGGCCTGATCTGAATCCAAACTCAGTAACGGGGAGCACAAATGCTCCTGTTGAATTACTTCACCTCTGACATGTGGCCTCATAGCTGTCATTTAGGAAGAACGTCTTTGAGTTGTTGGAGTCAGTTATCACGTAGGTAGAGTGCTATACCCCTGTATTGCCGGTCATAGTCTTAGTTGGTTTACTTCTTTTGTTTATTTTTTGTTTGTTGAGTCAAGATCTTTCTACATAGTTCAGGCTGGTCTTGAACTCACCATGTAGCCCAGGCTGGCTTGAAACTTTCGGTGATCTTCCTGCCTCTGCCTCGCAGGTGCTTGGGTTACAGGTGTGTGCCACCATACTTGGCCTGGTCTACTATTTTAACAAAGCAATTTGATGGTAAACACCAAGAATCTTCTTAGAATTTATAAACATCAGGTTTTGTTTTAAACCTTTATTGATTTTACTTTTAGTAAGACTTATAAGAGTGGGTAAAATTGGATGGGAAAAGGGAGATTGTTCTTTATAACAATTTCTTTTAAAAATTGAAGTCTGACTTTTATCTCTTACGGGGTAAAAAATACAAAAACTTGTATGTTTTTATAAATATAAATTACAAAGTTTAAAATTTTTTTAAAACTCAAAAAGTATACATTATACATACACATATTATCGTGTCACCCATCAGTTTTTGTTGTATTATATATTTCAAGGGTATGCATGTGGCTATTTATGTACATGTATATAAATGTAGAAGAGCTTTTCTGTCTGAAACTAGCCCTTTTCTCTCCTCTTTCTCCTATCAGTCTTTAAGAGAAAGATGGGGAAAAAAGAAAGAACTGAAAATATATTCCTGAGAAGCAAAGAGAGATGCTGCCATTGTTAAGCGGAAAGGGATATTTGGGAGGGTCTGATTTTATCAGCAGTCAACTCCTTAGTAAATTTTTTCATGTTAAGATGCTTTTCACTTTCCTGTAAAACTTAAGAGAGCTCACGTAAAGAAACTCTTCTATCAAAGATCACAATTATACTTGTTAAAGGAATGGTCTGCACTACTTTTTTATTGAACATGTGATCTTTCTTTAAGATTGCTTTTCACTTACAGTTACTGCTTTGGCTTCTGTCCTCTTGTATCCTGTAGGAAATACCAGATTGTAAAGCTTGTGCTCTTGTCAGCTGTTGGTCACCTCTTTGCTGTATTTTTGTGCCCAGGTATCATCTCCAGGCTCTCCGGCACCTCTATGTACTGGCTGCAGAACCTAGGCTCCTGGTGCCTGTGGATGTGGATACAAACACGCCATGCTATGCCCTCTTAGAAGTCACCTACAAGGTAACTCTGCCTGTCGTTTATTTGTAATTTTATTATCATTCAACTTTGCAGATCAGAATGTCTGTCTTAGTTACTTTTTTCTCATTGCTGAGACAAATACTCAATACCCAAAATTAAGGAAGGAAAGGTTTATTTAGCTTACAGTTTGTGGAGATTTTAGTCCATACTCAGCTGGCTCCAAGGCAGGGTGGTACATGGCAGAGGGCCACAGTTCATGGCAGCAGGAGACACAAAAACAGCAAAAGCAAAAAGGGAGGAGCAGCAGAAAGCAAGCTTCTTTCCCTCCTTTATCTTGTATGTAGGTTACCCACCCTAGGGTGAGTGTAGCACTCACACCCATAATCCCAGCGTTGGACCATGAAGCAATCATAAACTCTAGAAACCCTCCCATGACTGCTTGAGGGTTTGGGGGGACATCTAGACACAAGCCATAACAATATCTCAAGAGTGTTGTCTAGTAAACTGTTCATATACAAATGAGTTCTTATATATTCTGCTAGACCATTCAGACTCATTTATAGTCTGTGGGTATAATTATTTAGGCATCATCTGCTGTTCTTTTGTCCTAGAGCTTATAATTTGGAAATGTTCCTGGTAATTTTACATGGCTGATAGTAGCACTCTAAAACACTAGTTGAGTTAAAACCATTCTTCAGTTTGTATTTGATGAGAGATCTTTTATTTAGATATACAAATAGATCACAAGTCATGTGTCCATCCTCCAGCAAATTGTGAAGTGCTCTTTATGTATCAAAACTCTGCCAGCCTCAGGTACAAAAATGGGGTGACTAAAAAAATGAGGTGACATTGTCATACGCCTTAAGGAACGTCTGTCCATTGGGAGCCGAAGGGAGCATAGAGTGTGACAGCTGAAGGCATGGAGTGTGGAGTACTTGTAGAAGAGCCCGTGTCCAGCTGGGGCTGGGGCAGCTGTCATGGTGGGCTCTGAGAGGCTGAGAATTACCAGCAGAGTGGGACCTTTTTCTCAGTGGAGAAGGAATGTGCATACATCCAGAAACTATGGAAGGGCAACTCTTTATGACTGCTGGCCTGTGAAGTGCAAGCCTTGAAGGGGTGGGATGAATACCCCTGAAGGAATTGACTTGTGAGCCCATTAATATGCGAGAGGATTTATGCCTCTGAACAATCTGTACAAACTATGGGGGAGAGGAAGGGGAGGAGTGCTATTTCTTCTCTGTGGTTTACGCTGACCACCTAGTAAACTGCGGCTGTACTTTACCTTTATTAAGGGCACTCAGTGGTATGAACAAACCAAAGAAGAACTGATGGCCCCTACTCTTCTTCCAGAACTCCACCTTTTAAAACAGGTGAGTTGGGAGTGACTTAGGGAGGTATGTCCAAGTCATAAATTGAAATAGAAGTAGCATGACATTAACATCAGCTGTATTGAAGCTTCTGTTTGGCAGAAAACAGGAAAGCAGCAACAGGAGGAAGATCAGGAAGAAGAGAGAAGGTCTTGTCTTAAAAATCTTTGCTGATAGGTTGGGTGTGTTCAGAGCAGGATTTACATTCTGTTTTGTCAAGAAATGGATCTTCTTAACCTCTCTGCATCTCTTTCCAGCTATTATTTCCTGTGAGAGGCCTGGGTTTCACTTGGTTAGACTAGCATTGTTTCAGCTTATGGGTGACTGTATTTATATTTATCTTGGCAGATTAAAGTTAAAGGCCCAAGATACTGGGAACTGCTCATAGATTTAAGCAAGGGAACCCAACACTTGAGGTAAGTATACTGACTTTCTCAAAAGTGCCTTCCAGGAAGTTAATAGGAGTATATGGGGAGGTATGAATGACAGATTATTGTGTAGAGTGCTGCTTATTACTCAGTGGTCTCATTTAAGACAGTGGTTAGGATATGTATTGAATAAAGTGCTGTATGTCTTTGAACCAGGGTTTATATTAGAAAGTGAAAGTTTGAATCTGGAAATTAAATCCTAAATACTGACATTTATTCATTTAAGAATTTGAACTGACTTAGCTTGAGACAGAAGTGGAGCTGTCTCTTGGTACAATAATACAAGATATGGTTTATGTTTTGTACCTTAGGTAGTATGTTAATTATATCTTTACATTTCCAGAAAGTTAACGAGCATGTAAAAGTTTTTATGGTGTGGTTCCAATTTATAGTGTCCCGCGTTCTATATAATGGCTGATTTCTGTGTCATTCTATGTTTGCAACATTATTTGTTTTCTGCTGCAGACCAGTTAGTACATACTTATGTCTCTGTCCTATGCATAGTGCTAGGGGCTCTAGGGAAAAGCAAGCAGTGTTAGATAAAATGTTCCCTTTGAAGCTCATATCTGAGCAGACAGTCAGAATACCTTCTCATTGAACAAGTACCATGAGTCTAGATATGAGAGGAAGGCAGAACATTATTTGAGGCTTTCTTGAAGGGACTGGCTTAATTTTAGACATAGGAAATAATCACATGCTTTAGTGGAGAATAATCAAGACTGTATCTTCTGTAAACATGGCATTATACCTCTCATACTAAGTTTATATTTTTCTCTTTCAGGTCCATTCTTTCTAAGGATGGGGTTTTGTATGTGAAGCTCAGGGCAGGTCAGCTCTCCTACAAGGAAGATCCAATGGGGTGGCAAAGTTTGTTGGCCCAGACTGTTGCCAACAGGAACTCTGAAGCCCGGGCTTTCAAGGTAGTGTTGGTGGTGAAGCACTCGAAGATGAAAGGAAGTAATCTGAGATCTCACTCGCTTCTCCTCTTACTGTTGTGGTTGTAAAGCCTGATTGACCGTGGCTGCCTTTGCTGTTCCGTGCGGCAGCGTAATAACTAGGAACAGTCTGCTGCTGCTCTAAGTAAGACTGACGCGTGGTGGCAAGAGCATTCACAGTATCTTAGCACTATCGAAGTAGCTATTTCTACTTACTCCTCTCAACTCAGTGAAAATTTGCTACTTCATAGCAAAAATAGGAAAAGGATTTTGCAATCTAGCGCTTGATAATTTCCATTTTTAAACCATCATTTGTTTCTTGAACTTGGTGAGGATGAAATGATAGATTCTTAGTTTATTATTTGCAGTGTTTGATTGTCAACATGACAGTGTTTGAAATGAAGAGAGATGAAGAGATAGTTAAAAGAACATCTGACTCTCATTCCTGTGGAAGAGTTAGTACAGATTTTGTTCTGTAGAATTGAAGTTTCCCACACTAAAAACTATGTTCCATGATCTAGCATAAATTTCTGAATTTAACCCCAATTTTTAGGTATCTCAGGAGCAAGTATATTGCTAAAGATAGTCTCTTTAAAGCAGTCAGGATGCTACTTACGTACAGCAGAGATGCGGCAGGTGGAGCAGCCCAGGGGCAGCCAGAGCACTGCTGTAGCTTCTTCTAAGTAGGAGTAATTCAGTTCATATTTCACTTTAGGTCGGTTACTAATGATAACACCTTTATAATAGTGGAATTTTATCTATAATTCTCAGGGTTGACATCTGTGGATTTTGTTTAGCAGTATTTAGTGGGTTGTCTGTGAAATACTTTTGAAGCGTTTTTGAACAAAATTTAACTTAAGTTAGCACTGTTGCTTCTAAAGATTAGATCCCATCTCAAAGACTAATCCAATTTGTATAGAAGAGAGATGAGTTTAGACTTGAGTTTGAATAGGGAAAGCATGTAAAAATGGGAAGATGGGCCGGGCTATACTCAGTGGTAAGCTCTTGCCTAGCTAGTATGTGCAAGTTCTTTGTTCCATCCTTAGCACCGAAAAATAAGAATAAAAATACTGATTTCTTGCCTGCTGGGAGTTTAGAAATAAAATATAAACCTCAATAGAAAATAGTAATACTTTCGTATTCCAGTTTTAGACTTGAACCTCGAGTGGTATTCTGGAGTTCTCCCCCATATTTTTTACTGTGGTAAAATACACATAATACGAAATTTACTATCTCCAGTGATAGTACATTGATACTGTTGTGCAACTATCAGTACTTTCATCTCTAGAACTGTTTCATGTGACAGATCTAACATGCTGTACTTACTAAATGCTAACTTCCACTTTTGTTTCTTGGCCTCTAGAAATTGCCATTCTGCTTTCTTCCTTTACGATTTTGATTATTCCAAGACCTCATGTATGTGGCATTATATGGTGTTTGTCCTTTTGTGATGGGCTGAGCGAAACTCCATTGACCTTAGTTTTCTTTAACAGCTGTATTTCCCAGGAGGCTTTTAGTTAGACACTGAGGAAAGGAGCAGTTTGCAGAATTTTTTTTGGATAAGTTGTACAGGAAAGGAGATCTGTTTTTTAGTGGCCTCTTTTTTTTTTTTTTTTTTTTAAATTGGTCTCTTGATAAAGAGTTTATATAACTTCTTAGCCAGACAGAGTGGTAAAGCTTCAGCAAGTTTATATATCTTGGGTTTTATGGGAACATTGTATCAGAAGGGGGAGTCACAACTCTGTGCCTTACAGTTGGAGTAGATTGGTAAGTAGTCTTTCATTATCTCACATTGTTGTGGTTTGTTTTTGTGTTTTTTTAGCCTGAGACAATTTCAGCCTTCACTTCTGATCCAGCACTTTTGTCATTTGCTGAGTATTTCTGCAAACCAACTGTGAACATGGGTCAGGTGAGTATGACTGATATTCCCCATTTAATGACCTGCCTGGTTAACAACTGTTCATACTTGAACCTGCTGCTTGGACTTATGGCCCATCTTTCTTTTTGTATAGTTCTGTGCATCTTGTTTGTAGAGCCTCTTCTTTGTATGGTTTACCTTGTTTATACAGTACTGTAATTTTTGCTGATTGTATTACATAGTATATTGCTGTAGGTTTATGTTCTGTTATACATTATAGCATTGCATATAAGAGTTATGCAAATAAAGGTGAAATCATCAAGCTGGAGTTTCCTGTCACCATTTCAAATACTATAATGTGCATACTATATACAAGTCCTCATTTATCGACCAATTCACTTAAGGACTGAGTTGCAGGAACAGAACTTTGTCATTAGATGAAGGACATATATGGTTTGCTGAGCTCCAGGATTAGAATTTGTTATTCTGTGGATGGAGTACAAAAAATATCTGTAGTAGCTATATCTGTCTTTGAAATTAATGACATACCTCAGATGTAATAGGTGGGTTTTTTGCAAGTGTACATTTTCTTGGTTTAAAACTTAAATTCAGTAACTTCCTACCGTGATAGGTGAAACAGCTTCAAATTTCAGACATTAGTTTTGATGGATGGGAGTTTCTTGTTCTCATTTTTACAGTGATTTATGCTTTGAGTAGGTACTGCCTTTATTGTTTTTACGTAACTTCATCAGTTTTGTTTTCTCTGTGTATTGCAATCCTTTGTGTTGGTCATACAGCTGTTCTCACCGGGATTCAATCCATAGTACACACAGGGAAAGAATAGATGTAGGAGTCATAATCTAGGGTGAAAGTCTGTGCTTATGGCCTTAGGAAAAATTCTCAACCTCTTCCAGTTGTAGTGTCATTTCTAGAAGTGAAATTTTAGTAGAGTCTTCTTTACCATGTTGCTTTGAGGGCTCAATGAAATAACCTTCCCCTCTCCTGTTTGTTGAATCTTCACTGTACGTGTTACACTCTGCTGAGTACCATCTGTCATTCTCTCATTTAATTCTGATGCTGTGGTTAGGCACTTTATCATTCCAGATTTACAGAGGAGGAAACTCCCGCTCGAGATGTCACATGCCCTGCCCACAGGGTGGTAAGGACTGGGCGTAGACTCAAGGTCTCTGATAAAGCCTGTGCCTGTCCTTACCTCCCCACTGAACTTGAATCTTTTGCCACCAAACCCAAACTTGTTTGGGCAGTGTTTTCTCCTCCATCTTTGCAGATGCTTTGCTCCCTTTCTGGATCTTACTTTTTCCTAACCTGACCTAAGATAACTCTGGGGTTTCCCATTGGCTTATTTTACTGTGGTTTGATCCATTCCTTTCACAGCACATACTGTCCTCAGTTGTCCCTTGGGACTAAAGTTTTATTGTGTTTAATTGATGTTTAACGTTGCATGTGTTATAAGTTTGTTTTCAGTGAGATTACTGGCAGGCATGGTGGTGCATGCCTGTAATCCCAGCATAGGGAGGCTGAGGCAGGATGGCTGTGAGTTTGAGGACACCCTGAATTAGATAGCAAGACCCTGTCTCAAAAAAAGAACAAACATAAAAGAGATTATTGTTTGATATCACTCACTGGAGAGCTTGTTATATACTTGTTTCTCGAATTGATTTTCAAATCTGCTTTGATGTGCTACAAAATGCTTCCAATTTTCCACAGAAACAGGAAATTCTGGATCTCTTTTCTTCAGTACTCTATGAGTGTGTCACTCAGGAGACCCCGGAGATGTTGCCTGCATACATAGCAATGGATCAGGTATGATTCCCAAACCCTGTTCCAATTCTGATGAGATCCTGAGTTTCAAATGACCTGAACTAATATGGTAAAATTGCCTATGTATCCTGCCTTTTAGCTTCTCCTTTGCTTTTAGAAATCTTAAAAAGAACAGCCCAGCTGTTGGAAGATCCAGATGTCTCTGTGGCCCCCTCTTCTCCTCCCCTGCCCAGGGAGGAGCAGCACAGCGCCTCCCCCCTCATCCCTGAGTGGTCCCTTGCTCCTCTCCTGGCAAAGCCCCTTCCTGGAAAAGACTGCAGATGAGCAGTGTGTGAGCAGATAGTGCCCAAGGAAGGCAGGGATGTGGAATTGCTCCTGGGTGATTCAGGAAGTCACAGAACAGTACATAGCGATTTAGAGAGTGGAGTTCATTTTTAAACTTTGCTTATTCTGCTGTTTTAAAAGAGCCTAACATGGGTACTGCAGAAATAATGCTTAACGGCTTTCCTAAAGGACTGGACCAGTTTATTCAGTTTGGGATGGTAGTAATACATGCAGCTTTTTTTGTTTTTGTTTTTTTCTTTTTTGATACCAGGAATTGAACTCAGGAACTCGTGCTTGCCAGGCAGGCACTTGTGCCGCTGAGCTATATCCCTGGCCCTTGCATACAGTTTTTTAACTGTACTGTATGTTTGCAACCCAAATTTTTCAGTTAAGCAAAGGCAGTTTTCTAACCTGACTAAAATTTATCTGGGAAATCTTAAAATACAGATCCTCCAATACCATTCCACAGCTCATCAGTCAGAATCTCTGAAGTAAGATCCAGAATCTGTAATTTTAAACAGCTCGTTAAGTGAATGTGTTATAAAGAGTTTAAGATGAGCATTTGGAACTCCATGTTTAAAGCCAAAGAAATAATCTGTAATGGTAAAATATATTTAAGCTAGGAGTAACTCCCCCACACCTAAACTCACACGGTGTTATGTAGCATTCTTAATCAAAAGAATTAAGACCTTTCCAATATGAACAAGTGGGTCCAGAATGCTATTTTTGCCTGGAACCCTTCTCAGCGGAAAATTCTGTATCTGTGATGTCTGCGCTGGCACTACTCTCACGGTCCTCTCTCTAGCAGCTAAGTACTGGCTTTGCGTTCCTGGCGAGCGTTCCCCACCTTTACCCCCTGCACCCTTACCCTTCGTGAGGTGAGGGCAGGTCTCTGCGCAAACATCCCCCCAGTTGCATCCTTGATCACTTTGTGAATAGGTGGCAAGAGCAGCACGATCAGTGCGTCGTGTTGCCTTCTGCCCCTGGGATGCCTTCCTGGTCCTTTTTGCGTCACCTCCCCTACCTGAGTTTGCCAGAGGTGGCTGGCTGTACACCTAGATGGTGCTGATCATTCATTTGGATCTGTTGTGCATCTTAAGAGTGATCTCATTCACCTGGAAGCTACTTGTGTGGGGTTGTGTTGAAGGAAGTGAGCCGTGCCCTTGCACTAGGGAAGGGCTTCTCTGTGAGGCAGGTGGCTCACCTCACAGGGTGGACCCCACGTGGCCTTTGCTGGCTTTCTGTTTCATTAAGTGGATTGCCATCCCTCCTCCCTCCTGCAGGCTATAAGAAGACTTGGAAGAAGAGAAATGTCCGAGACGTCTGAACTGTGGCAGATAAAGTTGGTATTAGAGTTTTTTAGCTCCCGAAGCCATCAGGAGCGGCTGCAGAACCACCCCAAGCGAGGGCTCTTCATGAACTCCGAGTTCCTCCCTGTGGTGAAGTGCACCATTGATAACACCCTGGACCAGTGGCTGCAAGGTAACGACAGCATTGTGCCCGGGGGCTTTCAGAATGCACTGGGTCAGGAGACTGTGTTTTCAGATTTAGTTGGTGAGTAAGAGGAATCAAGTATTAGCCAGAATGACTACGGATTTAATGTTTCCAGTCAGATGAGTTAGACTCTGATGATCTCCTTCAGCGCCTTTAAAATAATTGCATCCAGCCTAGCTTTGTAAGAGAATATAGATGGCCTTTTAGACACCACTGAACATTAGGACCTTGTTTCATCTTCTCTCCCCTCAGGTCGTGTTTCCTTTCCCCTGCCTCTGTCTTCTGGGTGTGGCCTGACCCACTGGAGGCCCACAGCTGCTTTCTTTCCCGCCTCGTGCTGTGTCTCCCTGCTCCCGCTGCGCCTTATGCTTAGCACTTGCCAGGGTCTTTCGGAGTGGGTGCTGCTTTCCAGCACCGAGTCAGTCCTGGAGACCCTGCGCTGTGGTGCAACAGAGGCTTTCTGCCAGTATTGCTGGCTTGTGATCGCAAGGGCAGTGAGCATTTCCCCCTAACTTGTGGAAGTATTCTACTCCATGAGGCAAGTGAGGGGGCCTTGTGTTTCTGGGAATGCATTTTTACCCATGTCTGGAGTTGGTTTCTGTAGTAGACTCTTGATTTTTCCATTCTCAGTCCATTCAAAACAAGCTGCTTTGGTTAAATACAAATCGTAGTAGTATCATTAGTAAGAATTCTTGATTGGTTCACTAAATTATTAGTAATCAGTACAACCTAAAGATTTGAATATAATTCAACTAGAAGCTACCTCCTTGTAATACCAGGAAATAAACTTCTGGAAAAAAAAAACTTGAATTGTGAACCAGGTTGTAAGAGCTGTACATGGAGAGCAGCGGTTTCAGACTTTCTAACAGCTGTGTCCAGTCTGTGCTTTTTTCTTGGCATTTGAAAAGATAGTGTATTTTATAATTTTTTTTGTTAGTGTTTTTTATTCTTTTAGAAAAAATTTTATTTAATTGGCTTTGGTTCTTTTTATTCAATTTTGCGTTTGATCACCCATAGCCAACCTTTGCTGTGGATGAGAACTGTGTCCTTGGGTCTTTGCAGATTCTCGGGTTTGAGATGCTATAGAAGGAACTCAGACGCCAGCAGTGTGCCCCTGCCTGTTGCATTGCTGGTAGGCATTTGTGGATTCCAGCAGAACTATGAGCCTCCGCTAAACTTGACTTGCTATTCAGAGTTACCAAAAATGTGTTGCGTTTTAGTGAAAAACCATCACTTTTCGAAAAAACTCTTAAGTGGTCACCGCTGTTGCAAGCATTGGTGATTGGCTTTGGCCTAGGGACGGGGAGCCTGCATATCCATATCAGAAAATGCTGACTGTATTTTTTCTCAGTGGGAATCACAAGGGCTCCAGTGGACCTTTAGGGTCACTCATGGCCCAGACTGCACTCCCCAAATCTGACAACGCAGCGGATTTCTCGTACTGTATAGACATTTTATGTGTCTGTCTCCTCAGTAATTCTGGGCATGGAAAGTAGGTTTTAAGTTCAAGAACTTCAAAATGTTTTATTAACTTTTCAGTATTGTATTATGTAAAATGCAGAACACATGCAAAGTGAGTAAAGTGCTGTAAGAAGCGCCATCTCTGAGCTTCAGTAGTTACCAACACTCTGCTGTGCTTGTTTCACCTGAACCTTAACCCATCGCAGCTCTCTATTATTTCCCACATTTTACCGTGTTACTTGGCTCACCAGGGATGGGATACAGTGCTGTTTTTGACACTGCCAGGTGTGGTGACACATAGCTGTAATGCTAGCACTCGCGGAGGCTGAGGCAGGAGAATTGCAAGTTTGAGCCCAGCCGGGGCAACTCAGACTCTGTCTTGAAATAAAAAATAAGAAGGGCTGAGGATGTAGCTCGGTGGAGCACCGCTGCGTTCAGTCCCTAGCGCGGGTGGAGGGGTGGAGCTCGGAGGCATGAAAAGTCCTTGAACCACTGTGTTCTCCTTCATGATCAGCTGTTCTGAAAAGATTCTCTTCCTGGCTCCTTCAGTCCCTCCCCCTCTGCGGCCTTCCACACCCCGGCGCTTTCCTGCTCCCATAGACCAGCGTCCTCCTTGGTGTATTCAGTGGAGTCTTCAGTTTCTGTCTCACTCCATGTCTGCGACACTGAAGCTTCTGACAGCTTGAGATGGGCCTCCTCGGATCTCTGTGACAGTGTACTCACTGGTACTTCTCAGAGACTCGTCTGACCTTCCTTTCTCAGGCGTCACTGTTCACGGTCAGTTTTTTCCCTGACCCTTCTGGGGCTCGTCCTCCTTCTTTCCCTTCTCCCCTCCTGCAGGGGCCAGTCCATTCTGAAGTCTTGCCGTCTAACTCTTGACTGTTTCTTGAACGTGTCCACATTTTATGACTTCTGTGTGGAACAGAGCTACTCCTCGCTTTTTATTCTTATCCCCTCTCGAATATCCCTGGTCAAGTGACAGGATGATTTTTTAAAGAATAAATTGCTCTAACACCCCAGCTTGAACCTTTTGAAGAGCTTCTGATTCAGTTGTACAAAACTTCCTGTGTGGCCCCGGAATCGGCAGGAAATGCAAGGCACCCTCTCCCTCTCGGCTTCCTGCTGTTCTTCAGTCCACTTTGCCCACGTGGCCTCTTCCGGCTTGCCAGAGCACTGGGCTTCTTGCTGTGGAGCCCCCTCTCAGACTGGCCCGCTTCTTGCTGTGGAGCCCCCCTCTCAGCTATGCTCGTCCTCGCAGCCTTGGCTTTCTTGTCCCTTTCTCTTGGGTTTCCAAGGCTTTCAACTGTAGGCAGCTTTCTCATCACCTTTATCTCTCAGGTTTTTTTCCTGTTTCACATGCCTTTGTCTGCAAGTGATAGAAGTCTGAGGGAATGAGCTGCTGTAATGGGTAAGGCAGGACGGAGGGACTCTTTCCTCACGTGGCTCCCACTCCGTTTCTCTGAGGCTCCCTCAGTTGCACTCCGTGCCACGGCTTTATCCTCAGCACCCTTCCTCTCGTGGTGGTAACGAAGTGGCCGTGACAGTTCCTCAGGCCAAGCTCAGTGTGATGCTCAGAGGAAGAGTGGAGTTGTTTCCAGGGTCTTTGACATAAGAATGAGGAAATTTCCTTCCTACAAGCAAACGTGGCATCAAGCTTCTCCCCAGTCTCTGGCCCGAGTGGTGTCTTGTGTACATTCCTCGATCCGTGCCTGTGACAGTCGTGGCCTGGAGGTTTAGGTCTGCCGTCCTGTCCTGCGCTCATCCTTGTGTCAGGAACGCGGGATTGCGTTGACTGTGCTGGACCAGTGCTCCCCACAGTGGGGTTCCTGGAGCAACAGCGTGGTGCTTGAGAATTGTTAGAAATGCGGCTTTTCTGGCCCTCCCCGAGACCTACCTAATCGGAAACTGGACGTGGCCACCCGCTTGTGTTCTTACCGGCGCTGCAGGGGACTGTGATTCACACGAAAGCCTGAGAACTTCCAGCTGAGACTAACCTGGATCCAGGCCTGGCACTGAAGGCTTTCCCTGCAGCTGCCTCCCGGTGGAGGAGAGGGTGGTTCAGCGGCGGGCTGGGGAGACTGCCCAGTGACCACCACCCCTTTGTAGCACTCATGCTGATTTTAACCGCACACTGGTGTGGTTATTTGGTTAAGAGCCCTTTCCCACAGCACTCTCGGTTCTGCAGTGACACGTCTCATTGCGCTCTGTACGGCAGCTGCAGCCTAAGTGCTCAGGAAGTTCTTGGTGCAAGAGTACGGCAAGGAGGCATCCCAGTGCCTCCCGGCCCCATCCCGTCCTCGTTGGATCAGCTCCTTCCTTCTGTGTTCCTCACAGCCGGGGGTGACACGTGTGTGCACGCCTACCTCAGCGGGCAGCCCTGCGAGGAGCCCCAGCTGAGCATGCTGGCCTGCTTCCTCGTCTACCACTCGGTGCCCGCCCCACGGCACCTGCCGCCCCTCGGACTGGAAGGTAAGGCCAGTCCAGGTCCTCTTTCAGGGCCTCTCTGACCAGCCCACTGTGTTCCATTTTCTTGCAGGAAGAATTTCTAGAGAATTCCATTCTCTAGTTTGGCTTTTAGCTTCACTCATGTTTCTGTGTCATTGTTGAGAAATTCTTCTGAAAAAAAAAAAAACTATCAATTTCATACACGCAAAAGCTTTTGTCTATGTTCAGAAAAGAATGAATTCTTCACAGAGCTGCAAAGCCCAGTCTATATTAGTAAACTGAATATTCATATTATTTTTCTGTATTAATTGGCTTTTTATTACCTTTTTTCTGTTTTTTAAAATCAGTTAAAATCTTAATTTTTGTAAAACTTTTAAATTCACAACTCCCTCACTTTGTATTTAAATTTTTTCATAATAAGGCATAAAAAATTAATACAAGTACTTACTGTTTAGAATATGGAAACAGATGTAAAGTTTATCCAATAAGCTGAATAATAAAGTGCAATGAATCCCAAACACCCTTGTTTACTTATATCACAAATTGCTGTCCATTAATTGAGGATGAGAAAAATATTTTGAAAACTTCTTTTTTTTTTTTGTTTTTGTTTTTCTCCGGTACCGGGAACCGAACTCACGACCTTGCGCTTGCCAGGCAGGCGCTTTGCCACTGAGCTAAATCCCCAGCCCCGAGAAAAGTATTTTGAGAAAGGTGAAGATTATTTAGTCAGCTAAAGTTTAGTGACATTATTGGTTTAAAAACCTCAGATAGAAATCCATTTTATTATTACTGTTACTACTATTTTATATAGAGACTTTTAGTTATGGCCGTGGTGGAATTGCTTATATTGACTGACTGCCCCATGGTAACAAATGTGAAAGTTAGACAAAACACAGAATAGCTTTCCAAATCCTAGATGTGCCGGCAAACCCAGATGAATGACATGTCTTTTCTGTGGGACCTTCTTAGAGGAAGAGGCATTAGGTCAACTTCTGTTACCCACTTTCAGTCTGTGTTCTTAGGACTGAGTCCATGGATTTGTAAGGAAAGAGTTTCAGAAAATCACTTAAATAGTAATTGAGAGAAAAAACATAATTGAAGGTAGATGAGCATGTTTCCTAAGTTTAAATAGTTCCTATATTTAAATAGTGTGTATAAGTAAACAGTATCAGTGGTTTCAGGTATTCTTAGTTTTCACAGAGGTCACTTTCTGAAGTATGGAATGGATAAATTTAAATTTTTACATCAAGTTCCTAATTGAGGTGCTGTCATTGGGTGATTGTTTTCAAGGGGAAGAATGCCCGCTTCAAACACGACCCTGTCTTGGGAGGTTTTCTGACAGGGGCTGTGCTGCTGACCTTATTTAGAGATGTTAACTTTCCCCATTTCCATTTTTTCAGGGAGCACAAGCTTTGCCGAACTCCTTTTCAAATTTAAGCAGCTGAAGATGCCGGTGCGAGCTCTGCTGAGATTGGCTCCTTTGCTCCTGGGAAATCCACAGCCCATGGTTACGTGATGACATCCAGGGGCCAACCCATCCTGAAACGTGACTGCATAAAAATGTGAGCACACGTCAAACCTGAAGAAACATCCTGGTTCTGTGATACAACTAGGGGGAAATGGGCTGTACTCGCCTCACTGTGTCTTAAATATTCCAGAGAATCTGTTGGTATCAGTGTTAACATAATATGATACATAAAAGTGAGTTAAAATTTGCTTTGTAAATAAACTTTTTTTTGGTTTGTTTTCAAAATTCTTGATTGCTTAGTTTTGGACTTCAGAAAATAGAGTGGCAGAGACTGATAAAGTCTTTGAGCTGTGGTGGTTCAGGTGAAGTGTCCAGGCCACAAAGCTGAGCTTCCTGCTGCCATGAAGGGTCCTTTAGCCCGTGACTAAGATGTCACAGTTGTTCTGAAATTGCTGGACAAGCCAGGTGTGGTGGCGCATGTCTATAATCCCAGCACTCTGGAGGCTGTGGCAGGAGGATCACTGTGAGTTTGAGGCCAGCCTGGGTACATAGTGAGCTCAAAGCCTGCCTGCACTACGAAGTGAGATAATATCTCAAAAAAAAACCAAAAAAACAAAAAAAACCAGACAGTCTTAACGCTGTGATCACCTCAAGCAAGAGCTTTATGTCTGTGTGCAAAGTTGCCCAGCAGGAAGTAGGAAGTGCTGTGGACTGCGTTTGTCCTTGTGACTGTCCACAGCCAGGAAGAGTGGCTTCATCAGGAACCGAATTCACTGGTACATTGATCTTGAAGCTCAGCCTCCAGAACTATAAGAAGTAAATCTGAGTGTGGATTGTGTGGTATTTTGTCATAGCAGCTGGAGCAGACCCATAACAAGGCCTGCTCTGAATAGCTAAAATATGCGTTTTCCATGACAGGGTCTTCTGAAGCTGCACTTTAAAGTAATCTATTTCTACCCAAGACTTGAGAATGTCTGTCTATCCCCATGGCTCTGGACTAGATGATGATGAAAGATGCTGTGTGTGAAGATGTCTCCAGCTTCAGGTTCAGATACAGAGAGGAGAAAGCTGCCTGCTGTCGAGTCTGACCCGGACCGGGCTTCCTAAAGAGCAAGTGGGACCTCACGCAGGTAGAAGCTGCAAGGTCTTCACCCGCTCATGAGATGATTTCGCATTTCTTCCATATCCTGACTTGTATAAGTCTAAAAATAAAAATGAACGCGAAGAGTTGTGCCGCATTGAGGTTTCAGCAGAGGCCCCTGTGGAGGGGACTTCACCTGGACGCCCTGCTCCCAGAGGCAAGTGTCCCCTCCTTGCCCCAGAGGTGTGCTCCTGGATGTGAAGCATAGGAAGGAGTTGAATTTGAGAAATTTGCTTCCTTTTGTGCTTAAAATAGTTCTTCTAATTAAAAGAAAATTTTAGGTGGTAGATTATGAAAATTCTGTTTGAATTCAGAATTAACCTAATATCGAGGCATCTCTTCACTCACTAGTCTTTGATTGTGTGCTTTTCCCTGAATAAAGGATGATGTGAGAGACAGGTTTTGAACACGTGTTAACTTGTAAAGGAGAGAGAACAGTTGTTAGAATGTTATCAGCAAAGCAAATGTGAAGCTGGGCCTGGTGGTGCACGCCTGTAATCCCAGCGCTGAGGAGGCTGAGGCAGGAGGATCACAAGTTCAAGGTTATTCTGTGCTATATAGCAAGACCCTGTCTCAAAAACCCAAACCAACCAACCAGATGAAAAACTTTAAAAGAGGGAGCAGAATAAAAGACAGCACAGTCTGGAAATGAGCTCTCGTGGGGCAGAGAGGAGATTTTGGTTCATCTGCCATGGAGAGTTCTGGGATCATCAAAGAAATCAGTTCCAGCTTTTTAAAGTCTCAAGTCTTTAGCGTGCAACTCTTACCATTGGAATGTTCAGCCCCTTCACTGCATGGCAAGGGAAGAGCTGGGAAACACCAAGCGTTTTGTTCAGGAAACGGTTAAAGGACCCTTAGCCAGGGTGATGGGATCCTCTGCAGCAGAGGGAAGAGGGGAGGCTCTGCACAGCCCTTCTGGGGACCGCGTGTGGCCACAGGGCTGTGCTCTCCGGGGAACCTTCATGGGGAGGAGCTGAGTGTAGACCTCTCCAAGTGCCTTGGCTGCTGGGCATGGGAGCCTGAACTCAGTCCCAGCTGCCCCTTTACTGACACCATGATGAGCGTCAACTGCGAGACATAAATTGTGCTGTTAGCGAACCCTGCACACAGTCCAGATGGGATGGCAAAGCTGGGTGTGTTGCTGTGAGCTTGTAATCTCAGTATTCCGGGAGGCTGAGGCAAGGGGGTCACAAATTCAAGCCCAGCCTGGGGTCGATTTGTTCCTTGATGGTGGCTGGAGCACGTTGGATTTGAGATCAGAACTCACGCCTGACAAGTGCTGAAGGGAAGAGTGGCTGTCGCTGAGATTCAGTCACATGCCCCATAGGGTCAGCTGCGTGACCTTACATAGCTTGTTTTCTTTGTTATAAGCTGTACCTGCATAGCCCTAGGACCCACTGTGGATTCATGGGCAATCAAGCCTGATCCAGAAATACGAAGCGGGTGCCCAGACCCCTGTCCTAGGCTTGAGGCAGCCCTCCGGGGCATTTCCCCTCAGCCCTCCTCCCTCCACTTCACTTCAGGCTCTTTTTTTGCCCCCATCCCCTCCTTTCTCTCTTCCCCACAAACTCAAGACCTGTTCTTATCCCCCACTGCACAGCCAGCCATTCATCGGGAGCCCCACAGACCGTCCCTCCCACGCTCCAGGATTCCTTCAGGAGCATGTTTGACACCTGAGTGCACGAAATGAATGACTCCCGTGTGGCCGCCTTCGCCGGGCCTGGGCCCTCTTACCTGGCGGAGGGGGCACTGGCCCAGGCCAAGTGTTTGGGGTCAAATGGCTTCCAAGATTGTGGAGCCCTTGCCCAGGCTCCCTGATGACAGGGCAGCATTCTGTTAGGAGCTCTGATTTACCAAAGGCACCCAGGGAAAAGGCCATGAGCCTCAAGGGAAGGGAGTTGGACCCAGTCTGAATGCTAGTCACCCTCTCTTTTTTTTTTAAATACATTTTTTTTGCAGTACTTGTGATTGAACGCAGAGCCTTCAACATGCTAGGCAAACACTCTGTCCGTGAACTATACCTTCAGTAATTTTTATTTTAGTTTGAGGCAGAGTCTTATAAGTTGCCTAGGCTGATTTTGAATTTGCAGTCCTGCCTCAGTCTCCCCATAGCTGAGATTATAGGTGTGTGGCCCTATACCCAGTTGGAGTCATCTCTTATCCCAGTATTATTTCCACTCCAAACCTTATTTTGTGTTTAATCTAGTCCATTAATGATTCCAAATGATTCTACATCAGAAAATGGGGAAAATACAAAATAACGAGTTGATCCATTCTTTATCTGTAATAAAAGTTACTGATAACAGTTTATTTTTACTGTCTTCTTGTGTTCAGTTATTGTATTAAAATTTTAAATGTTTATATTTGACATAGATTCATCTGTAACTGTAAGAAGTGGTACAGAGAGGTTTTATATCCCCTTCACCAAGCTTTCCCTAATGTGATAACTTCGTACGGTATCACCAGAGGAAATTGAGATTGGCACAATCCACTGATCTTACTTAGATGTCACCATATATATATATTTCTGTGTAGTTTGATCACTATCAAGATGTACATGGTTCCATTACAAGGATCCCTATGCTTTTATAGTATTTTCTCCTCCCTAATCCTTGGCAGCCACTAATCTATTCCAATACTAATTTTGCTATTTCAAGAATAGTATGTAATTAGAACCAGACAGTATGTATCTGAGATCAACATTTTCCACTCTGCGTAATTCTGAGATCTATCCATGTTGTTTCATGAATCAAGTTAATTCCTTTTTATTGTTAGTGGCACTCTGAGGTTGGATGGTAATCGCATGTGTTAGCTGTCCATTACTGTAACAAAATACCTGAGATAATCAATGTAAGTACCAGGAAAGGAGGCTGAGGGCGATGTGGTAGAGCTCTTGTCTAGCATGTGCAAATTCCCAGGACCACAAAAAATGGGGAAAGGTTTATTTTTAGCTCACAGTCTTGGAGGTTTCAGTCCATGGTTAAGGCACTCCTCCATTACGGCAGGGAGCAGTGGTAGAATGAGCAGTTTACCTAATGGAGGCCAGGAAGTTACAAAAACAGGGCAAAACCATAGTCCTTTGCAAGGCCAGGCCCCCAGTAACCTAAGGGCTCCATGAGGCCCCACGTTTTAAAGGTTCCACCACCTTCCAGTAGCATAATAAGCTGGGGACCAATCCTCCAACACATGGGCCTTCAGGGACATTTTGTAAGAACCTGTCATGCTGTGTTCTAGAGCACCTGGCATTTTACATTCCTACCAGCAATATGTGGGTGCCCCAGTTCCTCTGCATTGCCAGCATTTGATGTTATCACTATTTTCTGCTTCAACCACATCTCTTTGTGGTTTTAACTGGTACAGTATTTTTCTAATAGTTAATGTTACCGAATATCTTTTCATGTGTTTTTTGGTTTGTGTTTTTTTTTTTTTTTTTCTGTCTGAATCCTTTTTGGTAAAATGTCTTTTCTGTTTGAATTCTTTCCTTCTTTACTCTGCTTCGAGTTTTAAGAATTCTTTATGTATTCTACATATAAAGAATATTCCTTTGTCAGGTGTGTGGCTTGCAGATTGTTTTCACCGGTGGCTTGTTTTTTCATTTCCCTAATAAGGTCTGTCATGAAGCTAGTTTTAAATTTTTCATGAGGTACAGTGTGTCATTTTTTTCCCCTTTTTTGGGCACACTTTTGGTATCAAGTCTAAGAACTCTTAGTCCTAGACTCAAACATTTCTCTTATGTCTGTTTTCTAAAAGTTTTAAATTTACATTTAAGTCCCTGATCCACGTGAATTTTGTGAGGTGAGTGTGAGATGTAGGGTGTGAAGTAGTTCAAATTTCAGTTTTCTGGCTGTGAATGTTACTGTTGCTCCAGCATGATTTGTTGAAAATGTTACTGTCTCTTGATTGAATTGCTTTTGCAAGTTTGTCAAACATCATATTTCTATTTCTAGGTTATGTACTGTATTCCACTGATGGTGTGTCTGTCCCTCACCAATACCGCAGTGTCACGATATAATAAGCTGAGCTATTCCTCTCACTTTCTTCTTCTTACAATTTATTTAAATCTAGGTCCTCTGCCTTTCTGTACAAATGTTCAAATAAACCTATTTATGTTTACGAAAGCCTTTGTTTGGATTTTGACAGGAATTGCACTGTCTTTAGATCAATTTGGAGAAAATTACTATCTTTACTGTGAGTCCATGAATATGGTATGTCTCTCTAGTTAGACCTTTGATTTTTTTTTCCATTAGCATCCTGTAGTTTTCAACATGAAAGTCCTGTATATATTTTGATTTTACCTAAGTTTTTTATTTTGTTTGGCATGTATGATGGTTTAGATCTAAAATGTACCCCCAAAGTCTCATGTGTTAGGGAACCGGGCCTGGTCGGGTCACTGGGTGCAGGACCTTGGAGAGTGGATCTTGTATTGAGCTCCTCCCTGCTCGCCGTGCTTCCTGGCTACCGTGGGGTGGGAAGCTGTCCTCCACCATGCTGTTCCTGCCTTGGAGCAGCCCGCATTAGATGGAACCCTTTGAAGCCATGAGCCAAGATAAACCTCTCTTCCTTTACGTCGCGGGTATCAGGGTGAGCAGAGAGCCTGGAGCTCCCTAGGGTACACATCTAAACTGGCACAGTGGGAAGAGCAGCCACCACCCAGACAGGAGACCACAGGTGAAGGAACATCCTGGGCCGGGAGGTGAGCAGTTAGGTTCTAGAGGTTCCAGATGCAAACTTTATCGACTCTCCCTTGGAATCTTGTTGGGGGGGCTGGTCAGCAGCAAGAACACAGTAGCTTTACACATTCCTGTGGCACTTGGGTTCCAGACCCTGAACTATCTGAAACCGTGTGACCACCCCACCCTGCAGCACAGAGCAGTTTAATGGCAGTGATGCCAGAGGCTGGGTTGGGCTACTGTTTCTACATACCAAGTGGTGTGATATGGGTTCAAGGTAGAGATTGCCAGATGGGATCAAAAAGCAAGGTGCAACCATAGGTTATTTACAAAAAACACATGTAAATATAAAGACTCAGGGGAGAGGTAAAGCATTGGGAGGGAAGGACCC